ATAAACTCAAGGGAAATGTACAGATGGGGTATGGGGGGGGGGGGGTGGAGGTATCCCAGGAGAAGGCAGGGGACTGACAGAGTGACAGCCATTCACTGGGCCCCAACTACCCCCAGAAGCTCTTTTTGTTTCCTTATTTTTAACTTTTTATTAAAGTGCCGGGCTGGAGCGATAGCACAGTGGTAGGGCGTTTGCCTTGCATGCAGCCAACATGGCCGACCCAAGTTCGATTCCTCTGCGCCTCTCGGAGAGCCCGGAAAGCTACCGAGAGTATCTCGTCCACACGGCAGAGCCTGGCAAGCTACCCGTGACGTATTCGATACGCCAAACACAGTAACAACAAGTCTCATGATGGAGACATTACTGGGCCCACTCGAGCAAATCGATGAACAACGGGAGGACCAGACCGTGATTAAAGAGCCACGGTTTACAAAGTTACTGAGAGCTGCGTTTCAGGCATACAATAAGTTCAACACCAATCCCACCACCAGTGTCCACTTCCCCCAACCAGTGTTCCCAGGTTTCCTCCCCATCCAACCCCCCGCCTGTCAAATTGACGGGCACATTACAGAGTTTCAGTGGTTGTTCCTTATGTCTCATGTTTTAGTCCTGTTGAGTCTGTGTTCGGGGTATGTGGTCTTAATGCCTGGTCACCTACCACTTATTCTTCTTTTCTCCTTGATTTCTTTCCGTCTGTCTCCTCCCTAAACACTAGTGGAGTCAAGGGTCATCTATGAATCCCAGAGCTCTTTCATATTGTTAAAAAAAGAGAGGGGCGCCAGCAAAATTTCCTTTTTAGGATGTCCTCAAGGCAGTGCCAGAGGCATAATGAGTAAGGAACTGCAATTCTGCCCTTAGTCTTTGATGAGCCATCCTCTTGAGAGTGCATTTTCATGGATAAGAAAGTCCTCCAGCGCTCCTGGAGGGAAGTGGTCACTGCACAGACAAGGATGGTGCTCATTTTCTCTCAGTAACTGCATTGTAAACTACAGGGCCTAAAAAGGGGAAAAGAAAGGGAGGCTGGTAGACAAGAGGGAAACTGGGGACACTGGTGGAGGGACGTGGATACTGGTGGAGGGGCTGGTGTCCAAACATTGTATGCCTGAAACCCAAACATGAATACTTTTGTAACTGTCATTCACAGCAATTCAATAAAAAGAGAAGAAAGGATGGAAGGAAGGAAGGGAGGAGGATGGAAGGAAGGCAAGCCACACAATCCTCTTGGGCCAGAGAGATAGTACGACGGTTAAGGCACTAATCTAGCAGGTGGCTGCAGTCTTGACCCTGGTTGGAATCTGGTTCCACATATGGTTCCCTGAGCACTGCCAAGTGAGCACTGCACCTGAGCACAGACCCAGGCGTGGCCCCCAAACAGAAGCCATCTAAGACCCCCCCCCCCCCCCAAAGGAACTGTGTGGTTCTATAAGCTCTTGTCTCTGCTCTTTCTCTGAGCAACTTTTATCTGCATGTGAGACCCACACCCCTGGGGATGGGTGGGGATCAACTTCGAGAATCTGTCAGTTCTTAGGAATCTTTTACGGAATTCACTATTTCTTAGGCGTTAGCTGGAGAGAAGAACAGTTGAGATTTATGGTTAGTCCATTAAAATGAGAGACTTCAGACTGGATCCCCCTATTATACACACACACACACACACACTTGTTAGTCCTTTAAAATAATGAGACATTTCAGACTGGCTCCCCCTATTACACACACACACACACACACACACACTGTGAAATGACTCATTCCACAAAATAAATTAAGAGAGTGCGGCGGACAGGGGCCGGAGCAATAGGACAGTGGGTCAGGCTCTTGACTAGCACACAGCTGACCTGGCGGCTGACCTGGGTTGGCTCCCCTGCGCCCTATCTGATCCCCTGAGCACCGCCAGGAGTAAGCCCTGAGCACCACCAGATATGGCTGCCAAACAACAACAACAAAAAGTCATGGTGGAGTTTCTTTAAATAAAACCCATTTGAGGAATTTAACGCAGATTAAAAATAATTTGAGAGTAGCACTGTAGCATTGTCCTCCTGTTGTTCATCGAGTTGCTCGAGCGGGCCCAGTAACGTCTCCATTGTGAGACTTGTTGTTACTGTGTTTGGCATATTGAATACGTCACGGGAAGCTTGCCAGGCTTTGCTGTGCAGGCGAGATACTCTCAGTAGCTTGCCGGGCTCTCTGAGAGGGGCGGAGGAATCGAAGTAAAATTAAATGAGGACCAGAGAGATAGTAAGACCTTGCACAGGGCCAACCTGGGTTCAGTCTCAAGCCGACCAAGAGTGATCCCTGAGCACAGAGCCAGGAGTATCTCCTGAGCTCTTCCAGGTATGGCCCGCAAACAAAATCTTCCAGCTGAAGGTGCTGATTATACGACTTGATTATGTGGTATTTGCAGGAAAAACGCTGAGAATCTATCTAAAAGCATGTCAGTTAGTTTCAATGGTGTCGTAGACGTAACTGTGTATAACTATGATTTTTGCTATTTCAGTTTTAAATCACTTTATACAGATCCCCTTTAATTTCTTCTCTATTCCTCTTTGAAATACCCAAGGAACAATAAAGGAGGCAGAGTCAACTGGAGAAATTTATTTGCTTTTTTTCCCCCCTAGGTACATAGATGACATAATTATAGACAAGTTTTGATACATAGGAAAACCCTTCTGTCCACCTTTCTTTTTTTGCTAAATGAATCATCACAGTAATTTTTACAATTTTTAAAACAATACACAGCTTTCTCGGGCCGAAGCAATTGCAAGAACATCGGTACTGGTATATTACAGCTACTTACAATGTTTAAGAACAGCAATGGAGAAAAATAAGTTATTTAAATATTGATTTCATATACAGAAAGTGCAATGTTGTTAGTTGTTATATAACTTGCTCAACTGTTTTTCTCTATCAATTTAAAAATTAAGATAACTTGGGCTACTTTTTAAAATTTTCCTCTTAAAATCAAACAGCACACACACGCAGCATTGCCTAGACACACCGATTTCCTTGGCTGCAGTTATGAAAGCAAACTCTGCTATGTCAGGAACGAGTCTCCGACGGATTCGGCGTTTCCTATTTCACCAGCGCTGGGGGTCTGGGGCAGAACTAGGGGTCTCCGCCTAAGGCAAGGCCGTGAGAATCCATCTGCCTCTTGGTTCTGGGGAACATCAACAGTGCTGGGGTGGGCGGCAATCCCTTCCAGACGGCTTTCAAAAGTCAAACTCACACAAAATCCATGTGTAGCTACCTGAGCCAAACTGCTTTTCCAGATTTCTTTTTGTGCTTTTCAAAGACCATTTTCACTGTTCCTCAACATTCTGTACAAAGGGTGACTGATGAAAATGGAACCTTGCGTAAGCTTCCACCTGACTCGCTGTAACATTCACTGGTGTCCCCAAACCGCCTCAGTCACCTCTCTCTCTCTCTCTCTCTCTCACACACACACACACACACACACACACACACACAGTTTTCTAGCAAAGATAGTCCAACAACTACTAAAAAAAAATTTTAAACATTACAACAAGGAGCACAATAAAATCAACTTTGAACGTCTCAGAGTCTAGAGATCTCACGACGAAAAAGGACTCCTGAATTTGCTTTTTTGAGGCAAGAGACGATGAATTCCAAAGGGCGACACAGACACACTGGCATTCTCAAAACCGCAGATTCACCAAGTTCTCCTTTTTCTTGCCACTTCTACTCCCTCCAGGAAAACCTTACATAGAAAATGAACTAACCCTTGGGAATCCACATAAGCTCTTCACAACCCCTTTTGACCTAGTGCATATTTCCCGGGGGGGGGGGGGGGGGGTGTTTGGGGGTGGGGGGGTAGGGGAGTGGGGGGGCTGAGCGCTCGGCTGCCACATGGGGCATGATCCTCTGAAGGTCAAGTCTGGAGGAGGAGACGTGAGTCAGGATGAGACCAGTTTACGGCACCCGACTCCCCCAGTCCTGAAATTACTCAGCAGTCAGGTCAACACTTTACAAATGGGTCCCCACTCCTGGGAAGTTCGCTGCCCTGGATAAAACATGTTAGCTGTGTGGGTTAGGGTTCAATAGGAATTTGGCAGTTTTTGTGTCTGGCATATGCACCCCCTCTCCAAAGAGCATCTTGAAGAAAGCAAAGCTCATGGAAGAAACATCTCCTTTAGAAAATGCAGTTCCATGTGTGAGTCCCGCATCACCTGAGATTGTCCTTTTCTGCAGAAACAAAGGCTCAAGATGGCTTTGTCATGAGTGACCTCGCTTTCTCTTCCCTGAGGGAAATGACTGGTTTTCCTAAGGAGATGAATACTTTTAGAACTTTTTCATCGCTTTGGGGTCCAAGAGTTTCCACTGGAAAAGATTGCTCTCAGTGCCTGGGATTCACATATGGAAGTGATGAGAAAATCAGTTCATAAACAATGGGAACTTTCCATGACATAGTGATCCCAATGTTGACATACTAGAAGGGTCAGACATGAACGAAAAAGAGAACAGCCTAGGCTGAAGTCAGCTGTAAAACAAGTAAATAGAAAATAGGCCATTCCTGAAATGCTACGGTAATTGGTTTGGCTTTAGTGACCCTCTATTTGAATTAAAAGAATTACCCAAATAAATGAAGTGAAGGGTAATGATGGTCTTGGTCATAAAACAAGACCCCCAAAAGGGACAGACTTTCCATTAATGGCTCTCACTTCTGAAAAAATATCTTTCTGAAATATTTATCGTCATAAGGACTTTGTATTGCAAAGGACTTTGTATTGCAAAGGTGATCTGTTAGCAGTGACTGCATTTAACCATGGTCTTGGACAATTTAACAGAGCTTGTGACCCATATGAAATCAATACTCAACTGGTTAAAAGGAGACAACATAGTTCTCTCTCTCTCTCTCTCTCTCTTTCTCTCTCTCTCTCTCTCTCCCCCCACTCCCCCCGACACCCCACACAGGCACACACATATGAATAAACATTTCTTTGTGAATTTCTGAGAGCTTCTCCTGGCTTTGTAGTTTCAAAACCAAACGTCAACAGCAAAATTGTGCCTGTTAAAAAAGGAAAAACAACAACAACAACAACAACAACAACAACAACTTACAAAATCAGCCTGGTTAGAGTGAGAAAGAGAAACAGCCCAGACAGGGGTAGACGGCAATTTCAGCTGGAGATCTGGAACTATGGTTACAGGGCAGTGAACATGAGTTAGATTAACTGCGTAAAAGCTTATATTAAGGCAAATAAAAGCTGATTGCAAGAAAGCAATTATTAAAATGTCTTGTATCTAAAGGAGAACAGGACTTTTTTTGTTTTGTTTTCGAATGCAGCCAGGTTTTACTGTTGAACAAATGAGCATGGTGAAGAGAGTGGAATCACCCCGAGTCTGGTACTTTGGCCCAGCTAAGGCTCACAGGGGCCGGGTACCACATTTGTGGCAACTTGGCATCTTGGTTCATCCTGTGTTCTTAAAACAAAAATAAGTGCTTGTCTTTTCTCTGTGTATGTGTGAAGGGGGGTGGACATCCTCCCTGTCCTTGGGGGGGCTGTAGTGGAGAAGAGAGGCTCATCTGTCCCGTGGCAGGCTCCCGTCCTCTGGCCACACCCGGGGCCCGTTCTTGGGGAATCTGCGAAGGTCCCACGTGGGTGGGTTTGCCTCCGTGTTGAAAGCACAGTGACGAGGGGCCTCTGGTCCAGGGAGGTCCCTTAGGGTCCGGGAGGCATTTTGAAGAGTCTGGCTGCGGACACGAGCTTGCTGATGTGTCTCTCCTCTGTGATGCCGGCCTCCTGAAGGCAAGAGTGGGACAGAGAAGGCACTTGGCCCAGCGTGCAGCAGCCGGCCTGCGTGAGCGCGCCCGCGTACATGGGCAGGCCGATGGACACCAGCCACTCGGCCACAGAGGACACGCAGCCTGGGGACAGGGGTTTCCTGCAGATCTCCGTGAGGCCGCCGCTTGGGATCTGGAGGAAGGAAAAGGAGGTTTTTAGAGAGTCCTTGATGTGTGCCACATGAGGGCCCCTTGGGTGGGTGACACTGGGAGGGTCACTATGGGTTCTGAAAGGGCCCCTTTGTGCAAGACATGGCCTGCCTCACATAAACGAGAAGGCAAAGACTCGAATCCAGGGTCTCCTCTCTGGACCGGAGCGGAAGCACAGAGGGGAGGGCACTGGCCTTGCCTGTAGCTGACCCCAGTTCGATCCCTGGCATCCCGTAGGGTCTCCCACGCACAACCAGAAGTGATCCCAGAGTGCAGAGCCAGGAATAAGAAGACCTGAGACCACCAGATGTGACCTCAACTTCCCCATCCCCCCAAAAGTCCTCTCTTGATTTTTCAAAGAGGACACAAATGTTATCAATTTTTGATAACATTTTGGGACCAGTGAGATAGTCCAGTGGGTAGGGAGCTTGCCCTGAACACAGCTAAATTGGGCTCCATCCCTGGCATGCCATTCGGTCTCTGAGTACTGCCAGGAACATTTCCTGAGTTCAGAGCCAGGCATAACCTCTGAGCATTGCCAGATGTGGCCCCCAAACACAGCCAAAACAAAAAAAAAAAAAAATAAACTGGAGAGGCTGGAGAGAGAGAGAGCAGTGGGCAGGGTGTTTGCCTCGCATGTGGCCAGCCCGGTTTTAATTCCAGACATCCATATGGTCCCAAGCACCGCCAGGAGTAATTCTTTTTTTTGGGGGGGGTGGGTCACACCCGGTGATGCACAGGAGTTACTCCTGGCTCTGCACTCAGGAATTACTCCTGACGGTGCTCGGGTGACCATATGGGATGTTGAGAATTGAACCCAGGTTGGCTGCATGCAAGGCAAACGCCCTACCCACTGTGCTATCACTCCAGCCCCAGGAGTATACTCCAGCCCCTGAGTATCACCAGGTATAACCCTCCTACCCCGAAAAAAGGAAAAGGAGAGAGAGAGAGAGAGAGAGAGAGAGAGAGAGAGAGAGAGAGAGAGAGAGAGAGAGAGAGACTCAAAAAAACTAAAATGGAAATGTTTCCAAAAATAGAGATGGACTAACTTAGGACAGATCCACCAACACACCCTGTGAAATACTGACGTGTATAAAAACCCTGTGAAATACTGACATGTACAAAAAGTCTTGTAACAAATAGCTCTGACAACAGGAAAAACACCCATTTTCTACCTTCTTGGAAATAACTAGATGGACTTTTCAGAACTTTCCTACTGTTATCTAAACTTCAAAAACTATACAGGCAGGGGTGAGGGGTGTGGGCACTCCCAGAGGTGCTTGGGGGTCACTCCTGGCAGTGCTTATGGGACCAGATAGGGTTCTGGGGATCACACTCGACTTAGCCAAATGCAAGGCACAAGCAGGGCAAGTGTCCTACCCACTGAACTATCTCTCTGGACCCTAACACTGTTTTTTGAATAGAATTGGTTGAGTATGTGTTGTGAGTTCCTTCCTCCCCCTACCTCCCCAGCGCAGGGCTTCCTTTCCAGCATGGGACGCCCCCTTTGTGACTACTGGGAGTCCCCATCATGCGCCCTAACTAAGTGGGCACCCCGTGCTCACCGCCATACGGTGCTGCTTGCGCAATTGCTTCACCCGGATCTGGTCCATGTTGGCTGCCACATCTCTCTCGGGCTGATCCAAATCCTCCGCGTATCTCTGCACTAGGGCTTCGGGGATGCCACAGCGGCCATGCTGGGGGCGAGAACAGAATAGGGGCCGTCACGGGGGTGGAGACTCGCTCCCTTCTCAAGAACTGCAAACAGGTTGGTTCAGACATTGGCTTCCTGGAAAACATCCTCTAAAGTTTGCCTTCAAGGGGGCAGGAGAGATAGTACAGTGGGGAGGGCAGTTGCCTTGCACATGGTCAATCTGGGTTCGACCCGCGGCATCCCATAGGGTTCCTCCCCCTCCCCCTGGCACCTCCAGGAGTAATTCCTGAGTGCAGAGCCAGGAGTAACCCCTGAGAATTGCTGGGTATTATCCACCCCCTCAAAACAATTAAAGAAATGAATAAATAAATAAAGTTTGCCCTTGAAGGATGTGAGTGGTAGTACTACAGCAGATAGGGTATTTGCCTTCTACAAGACTGACCTGGGTTCGATCCCTGGCACCCCATAGCGTCCAAGCCCGGCCAGGAATGAGCACTGAGGGCAGAGCCAAGAGCATGGCCCCTGAGAAGAGCTGGGTGTGGCCCCCAAATCAAACAAAAAAAGACACACATGCACACCCCTCAAAAAACGACTAAAGTGTGCATTAGACAGTTGGGAATGGGCTTGGGGTGGTATTGTTTGCTGGGGACGGAACCCAAATCCTCCCGCTTGGTCTACCCCTGAGCTATTGTCCACTCTTGGTCTCCGGGAAGAGGGATCAAACCTGGGCTGGTCGTCAGGAAGCACCTGCTGGGCACTGAGTCACACCCCTGTCTGCTCAGAGAAGGGCTTTCACCTCCTGATGATGCCCAGGAGGCTATCTCCATGGAAACGTTTGGAAACATAGTAACTTGCTCCACCTCCTGCTGGTGCCCTCACTTTTGCAGACCCTCAAGCAGCAGGGAGAGGGACACTTGTGCTGTGTCCCCCCACAGCGGCCGCGGTGTCCAATCCCTATGTTACTCCCCCATTTTCACTCAGCAGTGACCAGAATTTGCTTGACTTTTCCTCCAAGAGGCTGTCATGGAGAAGGGAAGAGGGTGGCCGGAGGGTCTTACTCTCAAGCACCCCCCACACTCCTGACCCTAGGAACAAGCAGGCATTTCCAGGTGGAACCCAAGCGATGTTGCTATCATTTCTCTGTCTCCAAAGTCAATCATATATGTATTTTTTTCAAATAGGAAACAAATTTTACTTTTCATTATCCCAATGTTTTGGGTACAGGAGGGTACTTTATATTATCTCCCCCATCCCTACCCTCTCTGCTCACCCAACCGCACAATATATATTCTCTGAAGAGGTTTCCACAACTTTCAAGGGATGGTCCCATTTAATTAATTTGATCCAAATAATGCCTCCAAGGGAGAGTTATGCAGGTTATTACTGTGCATAAAATGGCAAGTTTACATACAGCGATATATAAAGAGAGGTTCTGTTAATATGTAAACACACACACACACACACACATGCGCGCGCGCGCGCGCACACACACACACACACACAGAGGAAGATATAGAAACTGGAATGCAGAACAGTCCGCTTTGACTAGGACCTCCCTGGACGCCTCCTGCAGAGGACACGGCTCCGAAGGGCCTTGCCAGCCCCTCCTGGGTGGCAAAACAGCAAGGAACCAGTTCTGTCACTGGGGATGGTTCCCTGCTAAGCACAGCTGGCGACAATTAAAGGCGAGGAGGCAGGAGAGGGGAGGGGAGAGGGGAGGAGGGTTAGGAAGAGGGAACAGGAAAAGGAAGGGGGTAAGAAAGAAGAGAATGGGGGAGGGGAAAGAAAAGGAGAGGAGTGGGAAGAGGATGGAAGGGAAAGAAGACAAGGGGAGAGAAGTGGAAGGGAAGAGGGGAGGAAGGAAAGAGAGGAGGAAAGGAAGTGGGAAGGAAGAAGAAAGGAGAGAAGGAAGGGAAAGTGGGAAGTAGAAAGGGAAGAGGGGAAGAAGGGAAGAGAGGAGGAAGGGAAGTGGGAAGGAAGAAGGAAAGAAGAGGAAGGGAAGTGGGAAGTAGGAAGGGAAGAGGGGAGGAAGGGAAGAGAGGAGGAGGAATGAACGAAAAGAAAAAGAAGTGAGGAGAAAGGGAAGTGGGAAGTAGGAAGGGAAGAGGGAAAAAGAGAAGTGGTAAGTAGGGAGGGAAGAGGGGAGGAAGGAATGAGGGAAGGAGGAAGGAAAAAGAAGGAAAAGAAGTGAGAAGGAGGAAGGGGAGTAGGAAGTGGGAAGGGAAGAGAGGAGGAAGGGAAGTGGGAAGGAAGGGGGAAGGAGATAAGGAAGGGATGTGGGAAGTAGGAAGGGAAGAGGGGAGGAAGGGAAGAGAGGAGGAGGAAGGAAAGAGGAGGAAAAGAAGTGAGAAGGAGGAAGGGGAGTGGGAAGTAGGAAGGGAAGAGGGAAAAAGAGAAGTGGCAAGTAGGGAGGAAAGAACGTGGGAAGGAGGAAGGAAAGAGAAGGAAAAGAAGTGAGAAGGAGGAAGGGGAGTGGGGGGGAGGAAGGGAAGAGGGGAGGAAGGGAAGAGGGAAGACCAGCCCTAGCGAGGGAGAGGAGGGCCGGGTACGGGCGGGATGGGCACCTTGTCGGAGTAGGGCTCCTCGGTGAGGTCGATGCCCTCGGCGCGCAGCTTGTCCTCGGTGAGCGTCTCCAGGTGGACGGGCCGCGCGCACGGCCCCTTCCTGGCGGCGGCGGGACCGAGCTTCACGCCGTGCTCCTGCAGGCTGGTGCTCTCGGGCAGCTCGGCCAGCCAGGGGGGCGGCCGGGCGCTGGGGGGGCTGCCGGGGGGCCGCGCGCAGTCGCCGGGTGTCCTCTTGGCGGGCAGGCCGGGCGCGTCGGGCGCGGGGAGCCCGTTGGCCAGCGCCGGGCGCTCGCGGCTCTTCTTGGCGGGCACCGGGGGCGGCTGCGCAGGGTTCCTGGCCGGAGGGGCCCTGCCCTCGGGTTCGGGCACGTCGCTGCCACCCGGGAGGGGCTGGCAAGGTCCTTCGGAGCCGTGTCCTCTGCGGGAGGCGTCCAGGGAGGTCCTAGTCAAAGCGGGCTTAGCCGCAGGGGGTGGCGGGGCATCGGGGCTGGGGGTCGCGGCAGGGGAGCTGTCCAGTTTCCTAGCCGCCACCGTCGTGGCCTTCTGGGGCTCCGACGACCTCTTGCTTTGGGTCAGTAGCCGTGGTAGCGCGTGGTCAGCCGTGGGGTCACCCCGCGGGGGGCACGGGCTAGACTTGGGGGGCACTGCGGGGGCCCTGGGAGCGGGGGGCGCTGGGCCCTGGCGAGGCTGGGCCGGGCCGGCCTCCGACTCGCCCTGAAGGGCGTCCAGGGAGTGCGAGCGCGGCCACTGCCCCCCGGGCTGGGCGCCGTCCAGGCTCTCGCAGCTGCGGCAGATGATGGACACCGGGAGGCTTCTCCGGTTGGGGTTCGAGGCCGGCGTGCAGGGCTGGGGCACGCAGGGCTGGGGTGCGGGGACGCCGCCCACCTCTCCGGGCTGTGTGCCGGCCCCCGGCTTGGCCCGCGGCAGGGTCGGGTAGGTGCCCAGCTGGCCTTTCCCGAAGGGCTTCAGAAGGCTGCCCTCGGCGTTCGACTTGGAGGACGGGAGGCCAGTCTTCCGAGTTTTGCCTGCGGGACGAGAGAGATGTTCACACTCGCGTGCCTGAAAATGAAAGCCTAGAAGGCGCTGGAAGGCTGGGACAGAGGGTGGGGCTCTTGGCCTTGCACGAGGTGGACCTGGGTTCCAACCCGAGCACCCCATCTGGTCCTCCAAACTCCTCCAGGAGTGATCACTGAGCACAGCTGGGAGTGAGCCCCAAACCAGCCACACAGGGAGAACGTCAGATGCCTCAAGGCCACTGCATGCACTAAGGAAACTTTCCCTCATTCCTCTATGCCCCAGTACACAGAAAACCACAGTTCAGAATAGGGAGAGGGGCGAGAAGGAGCCAGGGTTATTAGAGCCTCATTCTCTCTCTCTCTCTCTCTCTCTCTCTTTTTGAGTCACACCCAGCGATGCTCAGGGGTCATTCCTGGCTCCTGCACTCAGGAATTACTCCTGGCAGTGCTCAGGGGACCATATGGGATGCTGGGAATCGAACCCGGGTCGGCCGCATGCAAGGCAAATGCCCTACTGGCGGCTGTACTATCGCTCTAGCCCCTTAGGGTCCCACTGTCATGTTAGAAATAATTCTTGTCCTTTTTTGTTAGGGGAAGGGGGTCCAACTAGTGATGGCCAAGGTCTACTCCAGGTCTGTGTTCAAGAATAACCCGTGGTGGTGTGGGGGTAAAATATGCAGTGTCAGGAATAGAACATGCTACATGCCTGTCAGCTGCATGCCAGGCAAGCCCAGTACAACCTCACTGGGCTGGACTCGAAGACTGTGTGCTGGGCCAGCCAGTGTGATGAATCCAGCCTCCCATGCCCCAGCCTGGGTCACCCACGCCCCCTCTAGAATCCACACAGCCAGCTGGTCAATGTCCTGAGCACTGCTCTACACACAGGACCCTTGAACGTTCACACTCACAGGCAGCTCCCACTACATCCTGCAGTCTCTTCCCCCTCGGAGAGGTCTGCTTCGGTGGGGGAAGGAAATGCAATGCAACCAGCCAACCTTGCAACAAACAAGCAAACCGGCTGGGATGCGCAAGGCCAGAGACCATCCGTCCAGTGAACATTCCTGAAATATCACATGTACCACATCACTGGATGATAGGTTCTAGCTCCCAGGGTTTCAGGCCCCATCTAGACCCCTGCTCAATGGTTCTGGGTCCCAGTGAAGCAACTTCCTGGCTTGCAATAAATGATTAGACTGATCTTTGAACATGACATCAGCTACTTATTTAATGAATGCCACCCAAGATCGGTTTATTAGATGAATTTGATGACTTTTAGTTTTTATTAAATGGAGGATGACTGTTGCCGGATATTAATTGATGAACCATGGCTTGCTAAGCCTCAGTGTGAATGTATATATAGGTCAGAGGCTGTGATGCCAAGCCTGATCAGTTCTCTGACACGAGCAAACACATGATAATGGACTGTCCCCTTTGTTACAGTTTTGGGTATTAAGACATTTGGTGAGTGCTTTGACAGGGGGCTGACATATCTGAGGGGAACCCTGAGATGATACAACAGAGGAACAACATTGTTCCTTTACTATCAGCAAAGAGAAAACCCCCCAAACCCACACCACGTAAGGAAAGTGCAAAGACAAGGGATTCTCAGGACTCAAAAGCCACAATCTTGTATCCAAATACATTCCTGGTCTCTTGCTCCAGCAAACACATTCTCTTCCGGTCCCCTTCCTGGTGCAGTGTCTCATTGCTCACCTTTGTTTTGAGGCTTGAACACACTTAGTGGTCAGGCATGCCAGGGTCCCACACTTGGTTTGTGGCCTTGGAATGCCACTAGCTGTCTGGAGACACAAGTTCCTGTCTCCCTAGGAAGATGCTCTCCTACCGAGCCTGGACACCCTTTGGCAAACATCTGTATTAAGGATCGTCATGCAGAATTCTGACATCTCCCCAAGCAGCAGGCTCATCTTTTGAGTAGAAGAGGGTGGAAGTGGGGTGAGTGGCTGATTTGATGGGAGGGGAAGATTGTGGGCAGTATCCACTATGGGAAGGAAATGATTTTTAGGGGCAGATGAAAGACATCCTCTAGCAAAATCTCTGCGAGCAATCTGCAGAAATGAGGGAAACGGAGCACGAAGAAAAAGCCAGGATGAGGGCATCTGATGAGGGTTGCTGTTAGCAGCAGAGAAAAACTGATTCCTGTGTGGTTAGCTTCCTGTCAGTTCATCCCATTTCAAACCGGCTATATTAAATTCACCACATCAATTCCAAACACAAGGACAGGCAGATGGGTAACAATGGACTCTGCCCTTTTTTTGTTTGTTTTTTGTTTCGCTTTGTTTTTTGAGTCACACCCAGTGATGCACAGGGGCTACCCCTGGCTCTGCACTCAGGAAAATTACCCCTGGCGGTGCTCAAGGGACCATATGGGATGCTGGGAATCAAACGCAGGTTGGCCGCGCACAAGGCAAATGCCCTACTCGCTGTGCTATTGCTCCAGCCCTGCCCTTTTGATAAGACATACAAGTCAGGGACCTGGGAACAATGGTAGAGCTTGCATTATGCTAAAGATGAGCCAGTGACTGGAATCTACCACAGGTGTGTGCGGTGGAGGGTAGGTAAGATAGAGAAGGGAACATAATGACAATAATAGTTGGAAATGATCACCCTGGACAAGAACTGAGTAATAAAAAATAGGTAAAGGGATACATGATAACCTTTCAGTATCTGTATTACAAACCACAATGCCCAAAAGAGAGGGAGGGAGAGAGGGTGGGCGGGGGGGGGGTACCTGTTCTAGAGACAGTCTGGGGGTATGGTGGGGGGTGATGGGAGGGAAATTAGGGACACTGGTGCTGGGATGGGTGTTGGAACTGTATGACTGAAACCCAATCATGAACAGCTTTGTAAGGGTCTATCTCACAATGATTCAACAAAAAGAAACCGATCACTGATCACTGTCCTCCCGTCGTTCATCGATTTTGCTCGAGCGGGCCCAGTAACATTGTGAGACTTGTTACTGTGTTTGGCATATCGAATATGTCATGGGTAGCTTGCCAAGCTTTGCTGTGCAGGCTAGATACTCTTGGTAGCTTGCAGGGCTAACAAAAAGGGGAAAAAAAGGAAAAAAAAAAAGAAAATTTACAAAAAAGGGTATCTGCCTCACAACTGTGAAGCTGAAAGTGCTATGCCCAGCACTGCACATGTGCAGGCAGTCTCCGGGGCTGAAACAATGATTGCCAACAAACAACAGTCATCATCACGAATGCATCCTGATCTTGTCAGATCTGATAAAATGGCTCTTCCTGAATTGATTTTACACCCCACTAAGGAATCGCAACCTGCAGTTGAAAGGTACTTGGTAAATACTTGAACACCTGGGCTACTCCACTGACTATTGAGGGCAGCTCAGACGACCCATCCTGGGTGCATGTCAGAGTGGTCTTCAAGTATTCAAAAGACTCAGAGGGACCCTTAAGGATGAGTTCTAGTCTTGCCATAAAGGGGGGCTTTGCAGAACTGCACGGCCACCTGCAGTGCCAGTAAGCCTGACCCCATTTCACGTAAAACTCCCTTAAGCTCACTTTCCAGAAAGCGAGCAGTGTGCAATTTCCGATTCGCCGCTCTTAACGTTCAGGCAGGAACAAGGCACAAGAGGCACAGCTATCACAGCATCCTCTGCTTGTGTGACTTCTCCATGCAGCCCGGGCACTGACGGTCCTTTAGCTCCCATGACCCAGGGTAAATGTTTCTCTGCGGTAGCCAATAGTCCCCAGCACTCCAAATAAAAAAAGCTGGCCTTTATTGCCAAGAAGGAAAGGTCGTTGGAGACACAGAGTTTAGGTCTTAGAGCCACAGGTACTTGAGCCAAGGATTCATTCACTACACAGAGCCCTCAGGAGGTGGACATCAGACAGATGAATCTAGACCAGAATGGGGAAGAGGTGAGAGAGAGAGAGGAATGTCCCCTGGACTCCAGCTCATCTGTAGTCCTGAGACTCTGTTTTACAAAGTCTGACGAGCAGAAGCTGACTTCTGAATTGAATTGGTGATCTCCCAAAGCCAGCATGTTCTTTGGGTGAAGATGCAGCTACAAAATGTAGCACTGTAGCACTGTCCTCCCGTTGTTCATCGATTTGCTCAAGTGGGCACCAGTAACGTCTCCATTGTGAGACTTGTTACTGTTTTTTGGCATATTGAATATGCTACGGGGAGCTTGCCAGGCTCTGCCATGCAGGCAGGATACTCTCGGTAGCTTGCCAGCTTCTCTGAGAGGGGCAGAGGAATTGAACCCGGGTCGGCCACATGCAAGGCAAATGCCCTACCCGCTGTGCTCCAGCAAATCTACAAAATGTATCAGAAATAATGTGTGGGGTGGTTCATGGCTACGCCCTGGACTGCAGCCTCTCTTGTGGCTGCTGTTCCTTAGCCCACAAGGCCCCCATGATTGACAGGTGCTGGATTTCTGGGGTTTGAGCTAATCCACTATAGACCTTTAAGCAGCTGAGCTCCAGAGTCAGATATTCTGAGCTGCAGCACTAGGTCTTATCTCTGCCCTGCGGAGGCCTGTGTCCGGGGAGCATCAAAATCGTGTGCTTTGATTTCATGTTGCAATAAACAAAGGTGAGGAGTGGGGGAGGGTGGGTACCACCTTTTCAATGATTGAGAAGACAAAGCACTAAAGATGGTTTTCCCTTTATGTTTTTCATATGAACTTCACTTTGAAATCATCTTGCTTTTAAAATGCTTTAGGGGCCAGAGCGAGATAGCACAGTGGGTAGGGCGTTTGCCTTGCACAGGGCTGACCTGGGTTCGATCCCCAGCATCCCATATGGTCCCCCAACACCGCCAGGAGTAATTCCTGAGTGCAGAGCCAGGACTAACCCCTGATCATCACTGGGTGTGACCCCCCCAAATAAAAAGCTTTCAGTTTGGCGGCTGGAGAGATGGTACAGTGGGGAGGGCACTTGTGTGACACAAAGCCGACCCAAGTCTGATCCCAAGTACCCCAAATGGTCCCCCCAAACCTCCAGGATCCCTGAGTCCAGAGCCAGGAGTAAGCTCCCAGCATGACTGGATGTGGCTCCTTCCAAAATAATAACAGTAATAAAATAAATGATAAAGAATTTTAGAACACTTTCAGTTTTTCTGAACTGTGGATTTCTGGTCATTTCATACTTTCATTACATATTTTATGCTGCTTTCCTAAAATTGATGTTTGATCAGTTACTAAAATTGATGATCTTAAATCTGTTTACTGCGCACCTTCCATGTGCACCTGTCTCAGTAAATCCCTGGATGAAGGGGATTTTGTAATATGTGGTGCTGGTCCCAGTCAACAGTAAAATGTAGCCTAAGCAACAACTTTCAGCCATGAGAGAGGGGAGAGCTTGGGGACCCGCTCTGTAGCCCCACTCCTGCTCACTAAAGCAGAAGGGAGAACCCCACTATCTGTACATACAGGGGCTCTCTACAGCTCATCTGTCACCCTGAGATTTTGCTTGACAAACACCAGCGTGCACTTTCACAACTTCATCACATACCTTGATTCAAAGCGACAGCCCCCCACCCACAACGAAGCTGTGACAGTCCAGATCATGTTGATTGTGTCAGCTCAATGTACATTGAATTTGGCTGTTTTTCATACTGCAGCCTTTGACTTCTTTTTTTTTTTTTTTGCTTTTTTTTTTTTTTGGGTCACACCCGGCGATGCTCAGGGGTTACTCCTGGCTCATGCACTCAGGAATCGCTCCTGGCGGTGCTCGGGGGACCATATGGGATGCTGGGAATCGAACCTGTGTCGACCATGTTGGCTGCGTGCAAGGCAAACGCCCTACCTGCTGTGCTATCGCTCCAGCCCCAGCCTTTGACTTCTAAGTGGACAGATCTTGTGAAGAAGAAGCGGCTTTGGGGCTGGAGCTATAGCATAGCAAGTAGGCTATTTGCCTCACACGAGATCAACCTGGGTTCAATTCCCTGCATCCCATATGGTCCCCCAAGCACCACCAGGAGTAATTCCTGAGTGCAGAGTCAGGAGTAACCCCTGAGCATTGCCGGTATGACCCAAAAAAGGAAAAAAAAAGTGGCTTTATTACTGGCCCCCCTGTGATTCTGAGCATGTCTGAATACGCCGGGCTGCCTGATCATTATCCAGGGAAGGGAGATGAACGGGAGCGGGACAAAGCTGATAAGGACCCTGCTGGTTTTGCATCCTGTTCTCCGAGAAGATGTTCAAAATGTTCCAACTGCAGTGGAAGATGGATGAGCAAAACCCCAGGCGCTGGAATCTTCTTGAGTCTCACGATAAAGGGACCAAGGGACTTCTCTAGAATGTGATGTCGATCTCCTTCCCTTTTGGATTGAGATGGGGTGAAATGACCACTATTTCCGTGGTTATTTCCACAGGATGTGGTTGTAATCATTGGTGCGCCTGTCCCTCCATTTTTCTAGCAGCACCCCAGCAGCTGCCTCTCTGGGGGACTGTAAAGGTGGTGCTGGGACTGTCTAAAGCCACAGGGGAAATATGGCAGGACACTGACCATTGCCAAGGCTCAAAGGCTTGCGCAGTGGGTTTATTCTTTTCCTCAAGCTCCCCATTTGGCTTCATGTTCAGTCTCTCAGGAGCTTTTTATTCCTGAATCTTGGTTAAATTCCTTAGGTGTAGCCAAATGACCTCAAAATCACTGGGCAATGGCCCTGCCTGGGTTACCACCTCATTATTATAATAGCTGGCTATGTAAGCTTACTTGGAATGAGCTCAATGACCACCTCATTTCAACTCCATTCATGCAATCTGAGAGCGATGCTGAAAATCAATAGAACTGCCAGGAAAAGGGCATTCTAGAAGAAGACATTGCTACGAATTAAGGAGATCGAATGCTCTGTCTTATAGCCTGAGAGTTACATGTAGATGAATATCAATCATTTGTCTTAAGTTTGTGACATGCTTTTAACAAAATTTAAATAATAGATCTGCATATTTTACCGTGTATGCGTATGTGTGTGTGTATGGGTGGGGGGCGGGGGGTTGGTTATTTTGTTTTTGACTTATACCCAAGTTTACTCAGGGCTTGGAGGACCATAGAGTACAGGGACTGAACCCAAGTTGGCCACATGCAAAACCACATACAGTTTTACCTGCTTTAACTCTTACTAGCTCTTCTGCCTGTGTGCATGTGTATTAATCACGATATTTGAAGAAATTCCTTACAACAAATACAAAGCAATTTTTTTCTCCCTTAAAGTTCAATAAAGGGATGGAGCAACAGTAGTGAGCAAGGTACTTGCCTTGCATGTACACCCAGTTTGATCCCCTGCGTCCCATATGGTCTCCCGAGCACTGGCAGGAGTGATTCCCTGAGTGCAGAGCCAGGAGTAAGCCCTGAGCACTGCTGGGTGTGGGCCAAAAACAAAACCAGAAAAGCTCAATAAAGCCCAGATATCAATGGCTATTATATGAGGACATTAAGTGGTTGGAATACAGGTTTGGACATACTTATGGAAAATAAAGTCTAAAATACCATCTACTATAACTCAGAGTCTACTGAAAAGTCGGGTGGTGCCAGGTGAGGAAAAGATCTGAATCACAGTGGGGACTGGCTAGCCTCCGGGCTGTATAAGGCCCTGTACCATGTGGCCTGACCCTGGGCGATAAGGGGACAAACACGGATGCTTCTTAGACTGTCCTATATTGTATGACCTGCAAACGATGAATCAAGAAGTCAAATTCCTTGACAGTAAAAGGTTCCCCATGAGTGATCTAAAGGAAACAAACCAGGACTGCAGCAACTGTTCCATCTGTTTTAAGTGTTAAGGTCTTCTAGAAAATAAGGATTGCATGGGGATGGAGAGATACTACAGCGGGTAAGCTGCTTGCCTTGCACGCAGTCCACCCCAGTTCGATCGCTGACATCCCATACAGTCCCTGGAGCCCACCAGGAATGAGTGCAGAACCAGGAGTTACCCCTGAGGACTGCTGGGTGTGGCCCCAAACAGAAAGAAAAAAAGAAAAAGCATTGTAGGGTTTGAATGATCTTTAAGGACTGCAGATAGAAACACCAAACCCTATTGCCATAGTGTTTACTAAATGCCAGCGATTTATTTCTGTCTTCCTTGTCTAATAAATGTTGGGTGTTTATTATTTAATATTTACCCCTTTCCCTAATTTTCTAAAAATCTATAAAAGAGAAGCCCATATTACATTACAGAAGAAAGGGATTTAAAGACATGAAGCACGGGTGGAGCAATAGTATAGTTGGTCAGGCATTTGCCTTGCACGCAGTTGACCCAGGTTCGATCTCGGCATCCCATATGGTCCCCCAGCACAGCCATGAGTAATTCCTGAGTGCAGAGCCAGGAGTAATCCCTGAGCATCACCAGGTGTGGCAAAAAAAAAAAAAAAAAAAAAAAAAAACCAAGAATTTTAAAGCTATGAAGCAAACTGAGCCAAGTCTTCAGCTGAACCTATTCACAATCTCCTTGCTCTGAACAAGTCACAGATTCATTCATTCAAGTAGGATAGAGTGAGAACTGATGAGATCGCAGGGGACTCACTCCCCCCAAACACCTACAGCCTAAGACCCCTGGAGAATTTCACCCCTCAAAAGGTCCTTAACTCAGCACCACATCCTGCAAAGTCCCCCTCCTATGGCCAGTATTCAGGTTCACTCAGGAAGAACGAGGGTCATTAGTCAAAGCACAGGGCTGCGGGCTGGCCCCATGGCTGGCAGCAAGCCGGGCCAGGCTGACATTACCGTTCTCCAGGTTCTCACTGCTTTCGTAGCATCCCGAGTCCCTCGGCGAGCAGCCCCGAAGGCCCTGGTTGTCGACAAGCAGCTTCTCCTGGGACCCAGACTGGTCGCTGTTACCTAGCGGGCAGGAGAAACCGAGCATAGAGTCAGGAAGGGAACAACAGCTGAGGGTTCAGGTCCCCCCAAACCAGGGGATACGCACTCCCATTCATCAGCATACAATCGTTAGCCTGGGACTACTGGAAATGAGTTGATTACTCAGAAGTAAGATCACTCTTGGTCCCAGAGTATAGAGAGGAGAAAGAAAGAAATAGAGTGAAGGGGGAGGGGAGAAGAGAGATAAGAAGCAACGGGAGCAGGGGTCAAGGGGATTCAGGTACATCGGTGGTGTTAAGGAATGACAGAGTTAAATATCCAAACCACAGTCGACAACACTGAACTCATGAGACCCAAACTTAACAGCCAAAGTTAAGGGACCAAACTTAACAGCCAAAGTCAAGATGGCAGGCTGGGGCTGGGTGGGGGAGGGAGTAGGTGAGGGAACCAGGGAATACTGGTAGGGGGACCGTGATGGGACACTGCATGTCAAAAACCCAACTATGAATAACTCTGTAATTCATGGTACTTTCATAAAATAAAATTTGGGGGAAAAATTGGAAGAAAAAAAAAAAACAGTACATGAGATCAGGATATTTTCCTTTTCTTAAACGGGATGAGTTTGGTAGGAACCAGAGCCATAGTACAACAGGCTGGGCGCTTGCCTGGCACATGGCCAAGCTGGGTTCAATTCCCAGCATCACAGATGGTTTCCCAAGCTTTGCCAGGAGTGAGTCCCCAGTGCAGAGTCGGGAGTGAAGCCAAGCACATCACTGGATGTGGCCCCCAAGCAAACAAAAACCCCCAAAATGTAAGTTTTGAAAGAGGAGAAACACACACACACACACACACGAACAGAGATAGATAGAGACAGACAGAGACGGCAACAAAGAGAGAGGATTTTTAATACCCTTTAGGGTTACACAGAGGATGACTCTGGTCTAAGAGACAGCCAGAGCGTCGTGAACAATGGGGTAAGAACAGTGAGGTCCCTTTCAGGGATGACACAGCAGAGGAGCAGAGGGGCAAAACATTCCCTTTCGTGAGGGTATATTAGGTCCTATGTGCCTTAGAACACTGTAATAAGATCTGCTTTAAGCACCTCAGCTTTTACAGCAGAAAGCTAAAAGTGGCAAACGAAACATCAAGTTTCATAGCCCTCGAGAGGGGAGCCCTTGGCGACACTGCTGACACTCCTATTCTCTCAGCAGAACTAGACTGGCCAAAGGACACACCGCATTTGAGCCAGTGTGGAGTGTGTGTGTGTACAGGGGAAGGGGTGCTAGAGCTCAGGGGGCCATGCGATACCAGGTAGGGAGCCCAGGGATCCCACAAAGTAGGCAGCTACTCTGCAACTGGGCCCACACCCCCAGCCTGCAAACCTCACGTTTGGCTTTGAGCGGTCTGACAGGATGGTCTTTCCTTCCCGCCCTCTTCTAGCCCTTGACTTCCAAGAGTGGAGCCAGAGTGCTCAGGACACCCTCTGGGTGGGTCACCAAATACTAACTATTTTGGCCAGGCACAAGTGGAAGTTGAATATGTGTGTTCTCAGGCCCTTTGCATAGAGAAGCAGCAGGCGTTTCTGCTGCATGCAAGTCAGCCAAGACATCAGGCATGGCCTGGGCATTCTGCAAGGTGACTCAGCAGGTTCTGGAAGGAGAGCCCTGGCCTCGGGGGACCAAGGTTACCTGGAAAGGCTTTGTTCTATTATTTCGCTATTCAAAGGGGACCCAGGTCTCATTGCCTTCCTCTTCCCTCGATGGCACACCTCCACACAAAGGAAAAGGAAACCAGTAAGACAGAAATGTTGCTTTTTCTTTCCCGACCACCGCCATGCTCAAGGCCTAGTCTCCATACACTCAGGCCTAGTCTCATGTATGAGTAAATGTATTCCTGGACCACGTGGCCACATCTGCGGCCTCATGACACATTATAAGATGGTTTTCCATAACAGACTATACAAAATATACTATTTCAGTTGTGCTTTGGGACTGGGATTGGGGCTTAGAATGGAAACATCCCAAATTGGGTGGTGGGGAGGTGTAATGGTGGTAGAATTGGTGTTTGAATATTAACTGTAATCAAATATTGTGAACCACCCTATAAAATAGAATTAAAAAAAAAAAGAAAAAAAGAGAAATGATGCTTTTTCTCAAGTCATTTTGCGGGATGACAGAGAATGGTGTGTATCGGTCATTCCTTAGGATCCACTCATACGCCCAGGTAGTAGAAGGAGTCCTCAATGGCAGCACCCCAAAATAAGGAGGGCAAAGTTTTAAAGGGATGAATGAAACAATAAACTAACTGGAAACCTGAGGTCAAATCCTCCCCTTCCCCACACTCCCTCACATGAAGTGGAACATTCTAGAGTGATGGCTCATGGAGTGGAAGAATCTGTGGATTTGGCCTCGGGCGCTCCCCTAGCCTGTTATTTAGGAAAGCGAGACTTCTAAAATGAGGGCTTTGGGCTATCAGTTACAAGCCAGGAAGAGGAAACCATGTTGCCCGGCTTTGGCCAGACAGCACAGCACACCACGGAGGCCAAAACAGACTCCAAAGTGCTGACCAATGGGAATCAGACAGAAATGAGGGTCCCAGAAATGGCATGGAAAGGCAGCCTGTGTCTGGCTCTGGATGATGCCACCAGGAACAGGGCATTTAGAGGAGTAGAGGTGTCTCCCAAAGCCTGAAGACAACCTCAGTCAGCCAAGTCACGGGACACATTTGTCAAAGCTGACACGCACTTTTTATTGTTGTTGTTGATTTTTTTTCTTTTGTTTTTTTGCTTTTTGGGTCACACCTGGCAATGAACAGGGGCTACTCCTGGCTCATGCACTCAGAAATTACTCCAGGCCATACTTAGGGGACTATATGGGATGCTGGGAATCGAACCCAGGTTGGCAGTGTGCAAGGTAAATGCCCGACCTGCTGTGCTATCACTCCAGCCCCTGACAGTCACTTCCGAAGCAAGAAGCTCACTCTCAAGTTGTGAAAGTGAAACTTATGCCATGACAAGCGCAGCTAATGTTAAGTCTCAAGTTGGCCTCAATTTCTGTTTCCCTGGAGCAGGACTTGCAGTTTCTGGTAGACTCCCAGTTGAATAATGTGCTGAGATAAGGAATTGGGCAGTTGGGTCTGGCTGGCCATGTATCCACCTTAGAAACTGTTACGAACTATTGCCTAATTGCTGACCACCATTGTAATAGGGCCAATGCTAAAAACAGACCAGTATATAAATTACTTCTTAACTCTGAACCCTATATAAACTGCTTGCGATTTGGAGTCAGGGTCCTTGTCAAGACTCCACTGCGTTGGATGAGACTTGAACCCGAGCTCGAGCTAGCGATGGCTTGGGATAGTAATAAAGTTCATTTGCTTTTGCATTATCGTGTGTGGACTTGGTCTCTCTGCAACTGGGGATCTGGAACTCGGGCACAACAAAGTTTAGACTAAAAAGCAAAACTGAAGCTTCCCAAGTAAGCACTTAGGGGAAAGGAGGCAGCGTAAGCTATACGCTGTGCTGCAGGTTCAAGGCCTACCCTCGCTCCACAGTTACTAACATGACTACTTCAGTGCAAAGGACAATGAAGGAGGGGAATCTGAACCAGAAGATTTCTTGGTGAAATACGAGCAGGAGCAGATGATGAAAAAGCCTTAAAAAATGGTTTCCTTAAAGAACTTTCAGATACTGGAGAGGTAGGACAGGCATTTAAGTATTTGTCTTGCACATGGTTGACCAAAGTTCTATCCCCTTTAATACATGGTTCCTGAGCACAGAGACAGAAGCGCTGAGTACTTCAGGGTATAGCCCCCCAAAAGTCAAAAACTGAAAATTAAATAAAAAAAACTATTATTTATTATTATTATTTGCTTTTTGGGTCACACTAAGCTATGCTCAGGGATTACTCCTGGTGGTGCTCGGGAGAACCATATGAAATGCTTAGTATTGAACATAGGTTGGACACGTGCAAGGCAAATGCCTTAGCCACTCTACTATCCAGGTTCCATAAAAACTGGAAAATTGTAAAAATAACAAAAGACAAACTTTTCAATTGGCAGAACAAGGACAGTCGTGTCAGGACCCAGGTGAGGGACTATGGCTGGGTACGCAAGAGCCCTTTGCACAGAGACTGGCTGCTGGCTGGCACTCCTGGGCATGGATGCACAGGTCTAAGCACTGGGTAACCTCAAAGCAAGCTCTCATGGGCATCCGCTAAGAAACTCTTGAGAGAGAGCTCTAAGATCCCACAGATCTTTGTCTGCTGGTAGAAATTTATTTTGCTGCGACTCAACTGTGTTCTTCTAAGATAGCAGCTACTTGAGTCATTTCTTTGTTTGCTTGTTTTTTTTTTCTTTTTGGGTCACACCTGGAGATGCTCAGGGCTTACTCCTGGCTCTGCACTCAGGAATTACTCCTGTCGGTCCTTGGGGAACCATATGGGATTTTGGGAATAAAACCCGGGTCGGTTGTGTGCAAGGCAAACACCCTACCCGCTGTGCTATGGCTCCAGTCCCTTGATTCATTTATTAAATGCAGAATATTGACACCTATTACTCTAATCTCACATAACCTTGCCGTCAGACTATTGAGCTTTCCTGAGCTCTTCAAGTCTCTGCTCTAAAATCAATCGTACATCAGGTGACATACAGGGAGACGACAAGGTGCAGTCCAGCAGAGAGGAGAAAGGGCATGTCCCAGGGAGCCAACCCCACTTCGAGACTTCCGAGGTGGCATCCTCAGAGGCAAAAAGGCCCCTGAAGAAAAATCCCCAGGTGCCAACCAATGATCCCAGGGGACAGTGAGGTTGGGCCAATGCATGGGGAAGTTGATTCAGCTGGAATCCTGCCTCCTTCTCAAGACTGAGCCTTGATCCTTGCAGGCAAGAGGCAAGGGAGTGCCTGGGGCTGAAAGACCAGCTGCTCTCGGCAGCTGAGGAGAAGCCAATGAGCTATTTTACGAGCAGATGTGGTCCAGGAGATGAGATGATTTCATATTAATTGCTCCTAATACAGCCGGCCAGCTAGACCCGGCATTATGCCAGGATCTTTCCACACAGCCTGGCCCCACACTCCCCAGTGTCCCCGAATACCGAGGACCCCTGGTGAGAAAGCCATAGGAACTATGGACACAATTTGCTCCTCATCTCCCCCAAAGTGGTGTGTTTATGGAGAACTTGGGCATCAACTGGGGGATAAGCGGTCCTCCATGTTATCAGCTAATTTTGAGGGAGGACCTAATAGGAGGACGGGGATTTATCTGGAACGATATACTTGCTCCCACATCTCTTGGGCCTGATCCATTTTGGCAACATACAATTATTTTCCCACCATTAAACATGGTTTTGGTGTGTCTTTTAAGCAATAGAAATGCCATTTGTTAGCGAGATTCCTTGAAGCAGAGCAGAGGCGAAGAAAATGCATTTGAATTCAGCCACTGGAAAGGTTCATGGCGAAGCGATGAATCATTTCAGGAATAGTTTTGATGTCAGAGCAAAGAATAAAAAGCAAGTTCGGGCTGGGGAACACACACTAGAGTGTATTTAAATAGATTGCTCAGTGAATCCTGTGAGCTAGATTCTGTTCCAGGGCTGGCGAAACAAGCCAAGATTTTGACTGGGATTTTGCACTACGAACACTTTGCTCTACATACACACTCTGGACCTGCCCTTCTTTAATGGAACCTGAAGGGTTTCTTTTATTTAGTAACCAATACAATCTGTAAGAAAAACTCCTTGTGTGTTTTGAGAAGTAATTAAGCCAAGGCTGGGGGAAGGGACAGCTTCTCATTTGTTCATCATTTCTGTCACCAGTGACCTGACTTAGTTTCTAAAGTGGCATTGGCTGTATTTTTTAAAGAAAGCTGCAATCTGACTTTGGAGCAATAGTACAGAGTATAGGGCATTTGCTTTGCACGTGGCCGACCTGGGTTCAATTCCTGGCATCCCAAATGGTCCCCTGCCTTGCACGTAGTTGACTGAGTTTGATCCCTGGCACCACATACAGTCCCCTGTACATATCCAGGAATGAACTCTGAGCACAGAGCAAGGAGTAAGCTCTGAGCAACTCTGGGTGAAAGGGAGGGGGGAGGGGAAGGACGGAAGGAAGGAAGGAAGGAAGGAAGGAAGGAAGGAAGGAGGGAGGGGTGGAGGGAAGGAAGGAGAAGGAAGGAAGGAGGAAGGGAAGGAGGGAAGGAAGAAGGAAGGAAGGAAGGAAGGAGGGAAAGAAGGAAGGAAAGAGGGAGAGAAGGAAGGAAGGAAGGAAGGAAGAAGGAAGGAAGGAAGGAAGGAAGGAAGGAAGGAAGGAAGGAAGGAAAGAAGGAGGGAGGGAGGGGTGGAGGGAAGGAAGGAGAAGGAAGGAAGGAGGAAGGGAAGGAGGGAAGGAAGAAGGAAGGAGGGAAAGAAGAAGGAAGGAGGGAAAGAAGAAGGAAGGAGGGAAAGAAGGAAGGAAGGAGGGTGGGAAGGAAGGAAGGAAGGAAGGAAGGAAGGAAGGAAGGAAGGAGGAAGGGAGAAGGAAGGAAGGAGGAAGAGAAGGAAGGAGGAAAAGAAGGAAGTAGGCAGGGAAGAAAGGAGGGAGGGAAGAAAGAAAGGAGGTAGGGAGGAAGAAAGAAAGGAAGGATAGAGGGAGGAAGGAAGGAAAACAAAGAAGGAAGGAAAGAGAAGGAAGGAAGGAAGGAAGGAAGGAAGGAAGGAAGGAAGGAAGGGAGAGGAAAGTAGGGAGGGAAAAGAGAGGGAGAAAGGGGGGGAGAGAGAGAGAGAGAGAGAGAGAGAGAGAGAGAAGAGAGAAAGAGAGAAGAAAGAAATCTGCAGGCCAGGAGATGACTCGGGCACTAAAGTGCCTGTGTCAAACAGAGGTCATTGGTTGGCTCCCTGGTGTAGGCAGGCTGCTCTGTGAGACCCCCGATGCCACAGCTCCCAGAGGCCGCATGTGGCTGATCGCACAGGTCAGGGCACCTGTCCCCAGAGAAGAGGAGGGTGGCTGCCATGCAGTGAACACCCGCATGTGGGAGGCACTTACTGTCATACTCCTGTAAGAGCTCCACCGCCGTCAGCAGCACGGCTCTGTGTTCCGGGTCCCTGATGTTTAGCTCATCCAAGTCTTCCTCCTCCAGGAGCTTAAAGGTGTCCAGGTCTTCGTAGCCATTGAACAGGAACGTGGGCATGTGCTCCTGGAGGGAAGGAACCCAGCCCCAAGTCAGCAGCCCTGCCACGGGATCCACACCTGCCACCAGCCGTGACCCCACAACTTCCTCAATGGTCATGTTTGTGCCAAGGACGGATTAACAGGCATCACTGGCCACCAAGTCCTGCTCCCATGGGTGGGGGGCTAGGAGGGGGGCAGTGTCCACTAACATATAGGTTATGGTGCTGGGCACCACAGGCAGAGACAGGCCCCCGGGGGCTTACACTCCACTCTGCCCTCACCCTGACCACATCTCCCCCCACCAAAGGGGGCAGCGCAGAACATTCCAGCTGTAGGCCCCCCCACTCAGGGGGGAGGGGTTTGCCTTGCATGCGGCCGACCCGGGTTCGATTCCCAACGTCCCATATGGTCCTCCAAGCACCGCCAGGAATAATTCCTGAGTGCAGAGCCAGGAATAACCCCTGTGCATTGCTGGGTGTGACCCAAAAGCAATAAATAAATAAATAAACAAATTCGCTACCAGGACCCTTCCTTTTGGGGCCGGAGCACAGAGGGCAGGACGTTTGCCTTGCATACGGCCAGCCCGGTTTGATCCCTGGCATCCCATATGGTTCCCCAGCACTCCCAGGAATAATTCCTGAGTTCAGAGCCAGGAGTAAACCCTGAGCATCGCTGGATGTGACCGTCTCACCCTCTCCCCCCAAAAAATTCCACTCATAAAGACTGGGCATGCTCAGGAGCACTGTGTGCAAGACAGAATTGAGCCAGACCCCCACCACACCCAGTGCAGGGAGTGATGTGGGAAGCTTCAGAGGTTCCTCATGGCCTTGTGTCAGCCTGGAGCTTGGGCCGGAGAATTTTCCCTCAAGGCTAGGTTCAAACTGTGATCCTGGGTTTCTGTCACCAGCCACAGTGGAGCTGAGGTCGCAGGGCCAAAGAGATAGTAGAGTGGGTAGCGCACTAGCCTTGCACTTGGCCAACCTGGGTTCTATCCTGGCACCTCATATGGCCCGCTGAACACCGCTGGGAGTGAGTGATCCCTGAGCACAGAGCCAGGAGTAAGCCTTGAGTACCACTAGATTTGGCCTCAACACACCCCTAAAAAAAAAATGTTCTGGACATAATTTGTGTAGAAGGAAAGGTACTCATCCTGATAATGGGGTCCCATTTCTTGGATAACACAGCCCCCCTACCCTTCCTATCGGGTTTCGGAGGGGCAGGACGGAGGAGGGATGTGCGAGTGGGACGGGAAGGGACTGACCCTCAGGTTGATCCGGTCCAGCAGATCCTCCACAGACTTGGGCTGGGGGGGCCTCCCTTTCCGCCGCCTCCGGGCTGGGCGCTTGGGTTTCTCCTCCTCCTCATTGAGCACGTCCACGTAGATGAACTTGAATGTGCCAACCTTATTGTTCAACAGGCCCATCCAGGTGCCCATGGGCGGCTTGCTGATGATGTCAATGACGTCTCCTTTCTGCAACCGGGGAACAGAGAGCTTCGCTTTAGGCGTCAGTCCATCAGCCATGGTCACGGTCACTCAGGGCCAAGGCCAGCGCCACAAGCCTCCTATTAGCATGACTCAGGGATGATTCCCGATCCTTCTGTGGGTCACCAAGGCCCAAAGTGAAGCCCTTGCCAGCACCTCCTGTGAGGTCCCCCTGGATTACTAAGCTGGGCAGTAGAGCCCCTGGCCAGTATCCAGAGAGCACCTTCGGTGGACAAGTTCCCACTGGCCAAAGGCCAAAAGAATATCAGGTCCTACCCAGGGATATTGCTCCATGATTGGCAGCCTGTCTCATGAGCTGGGGGAGAAGGCAGATGGGATAGAGAAGGGATCCCTAAGTCAATGATGGTTGGAGGGATCGTTCGGGATGGGAGATGGTTGCTGAAAGTAGATAAAGAACCAAACGTGATAGCCTCACAGTATCTGTGTTGCAAACCATAATGCGCAAAAGGAGAGAGAGAGAGAGAGAGAGAGAGAGAGAGAGAGAGAGAGTACGGGGGAAATTGTCTGCCATGGAGGCAGAGGAGGATTGGGAGGGGTGGGGGGAGATAATAGTGGAGATATTGGTGGAGATTGTGCACTGGTGGAGGGATGGGTGTTCGATTATTGTATGATTGTAACTCAAACAGGAAAACTTGTAACTGTATCTCATGGTGATTCAATTAAAAAAAAAATCAGGTCCTACAATGGCTTTCTCCTCATGGAATCCCAGGTGCCTTATAGATAAATAAGTATCATCTTCATTTCCTATAGTGACTTTATATATCAATACTTATAGTGGAGAATCCTTTTCTGCCTAAATCCCCAATCACACAGGAGGGCGGCAGAGTCTCTTCAGCGACCCAAGGTACAGAAGTGAAGTGTGAGTGGAGAGTAGTAGGTGGAGGCTGGGGGGTCAGGGTCAGGGAGGGATGGGGGTCACAGAGACCCAGGCCTGTCCCTACACAGGCTGCAGCCTCTTCCAGGCCACTTGCTAGGCAGAACTCAGGGGCACCGAGACACCGGCCAGTGTGTGTCCCAGAGCCCAGCACTGGAGAACTCCCAGCAGGAACACAGATCTTGGGGTGAGAGACACCGTCTCTCGGGGCAGTGGGGGGCTACATGGCTGTATTTGGGGCCAGACTCAATTCTACCCCCAGCACTGTGGGGGCGTCTCTGCTGGACCACCCCAACCCTCGGCAGCGCAGGGTGTCAGCCAGGCTCTGGGGGGTCGTACTGGGAGAGACCCCCTCAAATACAGAGCCCGCGGGGGCCCCCAGGTCACCGTGGATGTGCGCCTGGCAGGCAGACGCACCTTGAGCTTGAGAGAGTCGGTGTCGTAGGGGCTGGGTGTGAAGTCCGTGTGCACCCTGGCGCGGCCGCAGAAGGGGCCCCGGTACGGTGGTTCCTCATCATCACCATCCTCCGACTTGACGCTCTCCCTGTTGCTGGTGGACGAGTCGGTGGTACTGACCGTCTGGCCGCCTGTGGGGAAGGTGGGGAGGAGAGACGTGGCGGTGAGCGCAGGGCACATTGGGGGCGGGGGGGGGGGGGAGGGAAGGAGCTGGCGGGGGAGGGGGCAGGGGCAGGGAACAGCAGGCACCTGGGGGGTAGGGAGGGGGCCTTGAGGAGACCAGGTGCTCCCCGAGGTCTCTGACCCCACTGGACATGCATTAAGTTATCTTTATGGCCCTGAATGGTAGGGGGACACGGAGACCCCAAATAAAACACCGCCAGCCCTCCGTATTCACGGGTTCACACTGGTAGGTGCTGGTTCACAAAGTGGAAAAGGAATTCAGAGAAATCCGGAACCTGGCCCAAGGCCAAGTGGTAAGTTTGAACTGGGTCCCGGGTCCTGGATTCCAGACAGTCAACAGCACACAGGCTGGGAGACACTGACAGCATCTCACCTGTGGCCTTCATCGTGCCCCTCCCTGCCCACCCCCCCACCCCTATTTGTCGGTGGTCTCACCTGCCTTTGGCCAGATCTCGTCTCCGGTCCTGTGCTACCTTCCCCGCTTACCCACCAAATCCATCCCCCCTCTGGTCTACAGTTGCACAGCCAACGAAACCCAGTATGTGGCTGACGTGTCTCTGCCAGAAACTGTGTCTCTAACTGATGAGGGCCCAGGCTCTGCCCAACCCCGATGCAAACTCCCTGGGAGATTGTCCAGAGTCCCAAACCAGACATACTCATGGAGCTCTGCCCGCTCAGGGAACTGCGCAGACTCTCCACGGACCCTCCGGCTTTGAGCTTGGGCTTGTCCGTGTGCTCGGTGTCGGGCTGGGAGGCGGGAGGGGAGCCAGGCATTCCCTCGAGGCCAGAGTCCTGGAATGAAGTTATATATCATCAGACGAGTGTGGTGCTTCTACAAACCCCTGCGACTGAACCCTCAACCAAGTTCCTCAAATCCACGTTTACTGGAGTCTGTACCCAACAAGGCCCTAACTCTTAAATCAGCTTCTTCTTTCATTTTATATATTAGTTTTGCTTGGGGGCGATGTTCCGAAGCTACTCCTGGCTCCTGAGTTACTCCCAGCAGTGCTCATAGGGTTGAGGGATCAAACTCGGGGCTCCCATACTCAAAACATGAGCACCAGCCCTTTGAGTATCTGCCTGGCCCTTCTTGTTTCATGTCAAAGCTGTGGCCCATAAAAGTATTTATTAAGCACCCCTGAATTCTTATGTTCCAAAAGGCGCTCTTGAAACCGCCAAGAAAAACATACCTACATCTCAGATAAAATATTGGATTAAAGGCTTAGAAAGCAGGAAAAGGCAACAGTTCTCAAATAAAGAATGAGCTGAAAATGCCGAGCTGTAAATGTAGTCCCAGGAAATATTTTTGATGTGGTACTTGAAGAGAATAATTTTGTTTAAAAAAGGGAAGAGGGTTGAGAAGGACAAGAGATAGGTAGAAGGGATAAGGCACTTGCATACACATGCAGCTGACTCTAGCTGGAGACTGACACTACCAGTGGTCCTCTGAGCACCAGTAGAAGTGATGCCTGAACACAGAGCCAGGAGTAAGCCCGGAGCACAGTCAGGAGGGGGTCAACTGCCCCCACCTTCAGAAGGCCAGATTCTGATGCTTCAACCCAAATTACTGAGATCAACTAACAAAATGTCATCTAAGAACCAGATACATACAACAGAAACATCTTTCAGCCTAAAATAAAAAATCCAGGTCACCTACTGGTTTTAGCTTCTTTTTCTTTATTCACTGTGAAACGCTATAATGTTGCTTTCAGATCTGAATGCCTGCTTGAGTGATGCAGAACATTCCCATTTGGGGTGACTGTACCATCCACTCAGAGCCCCTCGCTGGCACACCGAGGTAGTGCTTGCTCACTTCGTAAGAGATGCTATGCACACAACTTCTCTTGTCAGGAAGTTTGCAGAGAGCATGGTTTATGTTCCAAAACAAATCTCCCTAGTGTAATACGCAGACTCTGAGCACAAAACCATCGAAATGAAACCTGCTATTTGCACGGAGCCGAGTCATCAGAAAGGCAGGCACACAATTCCCCGGCCCTGCAAACATTTAAGGACAGCAGGAACAGCAGCGCTGACCTAACACGCATTGTTTGTGCTTCACAATGAATGAAGGTGAACAACGGACCTCTAGAAGCAACAATCAACAGAAGTACCGTTACTGGGAATTTACCGAAGCTGCAAAGTTCAAGTCTTGAACTTTTCACGCTGCCTCTATAAGTCATCTTTCCAGGTTAAGTTCTCCTCCTCCTCCTAGTCCTTTTCAGTGCCAAGGACTAAACTTGGGGCCTGATGTGTGCAAAGCAAGTGCTCTACCCCTGAGTTACACCCCACCTTAAACTCTTTGGGGTTGGAGAGATAGCACGGTGATTAGGGTTGCATGTGGCCGACCTGGATTCCATCCCTAGCATTCCCATACAGACCCCCCGCACTGCCAGGAGTTAATTCCTGAGTGCAGAGCCAAGTGTAACCCCTAAAACAAAACAAAACAATACAAACCCAAATTCTTCTTAAATGTTTCTGGGAAAAGGCGTGCATTTTGAAAAATGAATATCCCTGACACTTTATCTTCTCCAATGCTCTAGAAATTAGCACATCATTGTGTATTTATCGATTGCCTCCAAGACGAGAGACTGTTTCAGACATGGGCATAATGCAATTATAGAACAGAAAGAAATTCTTACTTGATTACCCGTCTATACAAAAAACTTAAAAAAAAAAGTACAACACTGCCTTTTCCCAGAAAGCATTATAATGAAGACTTAATTTAAACTTCTATGAATTGAATGCTTAAACCTAAAAAAAAACACCCTTATTAAGAATGTAAAACCACAATGCTAGGGCTGGAGATAGTACAGAGGGTAGGGCTCTTGCCTTGCATGCAGATGACCTGGGTTTTATTCTCCCCTAACCCCCCTCCACCCCAAATGGTCCCAAGAGCCCCAGTAGGAGTGATCTCTGAATGCACAGCCAGGAGTAAGCCCTGAGCACCGCCAGACATCGCAACAAAACCAAAACAACAAGAACAAAATTTGCAACGTTCTGCACTCAGGAATTCCTCTTGGCGGAGCTTGGGTTCGGCCGCGTAGAAGAGGTATAAGACCATGCTCAAAATGACATCAGTATGCAATGCACTTGGTCCTTAACACAGAACCCCCTGGACATTTAAGGTCCCAGGAGTTTTTCCGTCGCTGTTTCAATGTGGAGGAAATACCAACAAAATAAAATGCCTCCCATCAGCGGTGACGCTTTGGCTGCTGGCTGGTCACAGGGTAAATATCACCCTTTGTTTCCTGGGCTCATTGTCACCCCCAGGCTCACAGGGACAAGAATTCATTCATTCATTCATTCATTCATCATCCTGTTATTCGTCGATTGCCTCGATCAGGCCCCAGTAATGTCTCTTTCATCCTAGCCCTGAGATTATATTCAAGGCTCTTTAGGAGAATGAGACCCATCATTGTTACTGGTATTTGGCATATTTGGTACGCCACGGGGAGTTTGCCAGACTCTGCCCTGTGGGCAGGCTACATTCGATAGCCTGCAAGTTTGTCCAAAGTAGGAATGAGATAATAAGATGTCATAAAAAGATGTCCTGATAAGATGTCGCGCGGGTTCCGGGAGCTGGATTTTATTTTTGAAACAAAATAAAAAAATAATAGGGAGAAGACATTTGGGAGATGGCTCAAAATTTCCCATGAGGTCTGAGAGGCAGGGGGGTTTGTCAACCCAAGCTCTGACAGAATTTTGGAGGAGAAATTCATCGCTGGGCTTAGGGATGGGTGTCACACTATGCATTTTACTTTATTTTTCTAATGTTATTTTATTTATTTATTTTGGCTTTTGGATCACACCTGGCAATGCTCAGGGGTTACTCCTGGCCCTGCACTCAGCAATTACTCCTGGCGGTGCTCGGGGAACCATATGGGATGCCGGGGATTGAACATGGGTCGGTCATGTGCAAGGCAAATGCCCGACCTGCTGTGCTATTGCTCCAGCCCACACTGTGCATTTTAGAGGGTGAGCAGCAGCCCTGGATACTATCCACCAGATGCCATTGTAAGAGCTTACCTCCCCTCCACCCAGCCTGATGGTGACTAGGCTGTCTGCAGTCACTGTCCTGCAGCCGGTGGGGGTGCAGTCATCCCTCAATCCCGTGAGCACCACTATAAGGGAGCTGCCCCATTTCTCACTATGCCCATTTCTCACTATGCCCACCAGAGGGCAGTAGCAGATCAGAAAAAAATGCAAAATTAAAACAGAAAAAACAAAACAAAACAAGCCTACATTTCTGGCTGTTAGCACAGGAACCCCCCCAACAAAATGCACAGAAGGGGCGCCCCACACAGGGCCTAGCACAGACAAGATGACTACAATGAAAGCAATGAAAGGGCAAAGGACAGTGTTCTAACAACTGAATGGCCCAAACGATTCAAAGGTCAGCTCTCCCAGTGTCTTTATTGCCTCCCCTGAAGACAGTCATGCTACCAGTGTTGGAACCATCCAACGAATGAGTGAAAATGCCCCCTATGGCACCTAGCAATATCCTGAGCCCACGATGCATTTTCTGAACCTACTTCTCAGACATGCTTCTAGAACAACAGATGCCTCCATTGGAAAAGTTAGTTTTTTTTTAAAAAAAGTCTGAGTGTTGCTTTGAGATTTGATGCCAGAGATGCCTATTTTGTAGCCAAGGATGTTTTGGGAAATAAAACCTGACCCTCGTGTTCGAATTTGAGAGACGAGTGGCATGAAGCATCATCACCCTTTCTCTCTGCTTGTGCAGAAAGGAGAGACCGGGTCAGGGTGACCCTCAGTGCATAATAAGCATCTGTTCGAGCAAGTCCCTGCCCAGCTCAGCCAGGCTTGGTCTTGCATCCCAATTCCTGCTGTGACCAGGTCCAGCTTTGACTGAAATCTCAGCCTGTTCATCCCTAGCTTCCCAGGTCAGGCAGAACTCAGTGGGCTTCTGCGGGGGCACCACAAACCTGGCCAGAGACAGAGCCGCTGTACTTTTTCGACATTCTCTTCCTCATCGTCTCCTTCACAGATTTCACCTTTTTCCCCAGAGAGATGCGGGAGGCTGTGGGGGACTTGATGACTTCTTTGTACACAAACTCCCCTTCTTTACCCTACAAGACAAAGTGTTGTTTAGTGCAAATGAAGCTCCCGACCAAGTTTTGTCATCCCAACCCTCTGTGCCGTGCTTCCGGGAAAGACTGGCTTCCCCGGGGTCTCTGCATGTTTCCTCTGCAAATTCAGTGCCAGGTTGCTGATCTTCTTAAGGAAAAAGTAAAGTCAAGCCACTCTGGGATTTGTGTTTGTGCCTAAGTTTGGTGAAGTCGGAGGTGAGTTTCTATTTCATGTCACCGGAGTATACTCTTCTCTCATGATTCTTTCTGCTGTCACTGTGAACTTATGCTTAATATCCCAACAGAGGAGAGATACAGAACAAGAGAGAGTGAGAGAGCGAGAGAGAGTGCAAGAGCGAGAGACAGAGGGAGTGAAAGTAGCCGAGATAAGTACCAGGAGGTTTACTCCATGGCTTGAAGACCCATCACACACGCTAGGGGAAAAGGCAGCTCAGATAGAGAAGGGAGCACCAAATAAAGGGTGTTGGGAGGATCCTCCCAGGATGGGAGATGCATGCTGAAAGTAGACTATAGACCAAACATGATTGCCACTCAATGCCTCTTTTGCAAACCACAGCATCCAAAAGAAGAGAGAAAACAAAAGGGAATGCCCCACCACAAGGGTGGGATGGGATGGGGGTGGTGGGTGTGGGTGTGAGGGATACTGGGAGCATTGGAGGTGGAGAATGGGCACTGGTGGAGGGAGGGGTACTCGATCATTGTATAACTAAAACCCAAGCACAAAAATTTGTAAGTCTACAACTGTACCTAATGGTGATTCACAAATAAAAATTTTTTTTTAAAAAAAAAGTGAGAGAGCAAGAGATAGAGAGAGGCAGTGAGAACAAAGAGTAAGAGAGAGAGCGAGAGAGCAAGAGAGCAAGAGAGGGAGGGAAAGAGAGAGAGCGTGTGAGAGAGAAAGAGAGAGATTGTTAGAGATTACTACAAATCACCCCTGGTAAGAGAGAACAAAGGGCAACTCTCGGTCATAAGAAGCCCAATACTGGATCACACTGACTATGGAGGTTTCATGTATTCAACTACTAAAAGTATAAATTTCCTTTCCTGACCAAGTAAGTTGTGGTCACTTCTCATTCAATTTTGTATTGGGAAAAAGAGACCATCATCCCCTCAGGTATAACAGAAACCATACTTATTTTTTTTTCAGTCGGTGTGAGTGCACAGGGTGATTTAGGCTATACTTTGCAGTGCTCAGGGGCCTTACTCCTTGCTCTATGCTCAGGTATCAATCCTGGCAGTGCTGCAGGGGGAGGAGGGGGTGGTCATATGCAGTGCTGTAGGGTATCTAACTGGGTTGATCACATTTGGACCTTGGACTCTCTTACACCTTGGACTCTCTCACTCTCAGGCGCCCCTATACTTTTTGTGTTTTAAGACTGATTAAATGGAATGACTGGTTTACAAAGCAAAAGCAACAGATCCCCAAATGAAACCGTTCTTGCTTTTACCAGAAAACTCCTGCAATACTCTGAAAATTGGGGTTGGATGTTCCAGCTAACACAATCTGCTCGACTACACAGAACGGAATCTGAATTTTATAGCCACGTGACTAAATCTATCAGTCGAACACCAAATGGGATGTCAACCTTGCCTGCATCCTTGGGGTGGGGGGGTGTCTCAGTAAACCAACCATTGAGACCAAAACTATATGTTACAGTGGGAATCTGTCCCCAGACTCTGACCTAGAAGGCCTGAAGAGGAGGAGGCAATGTCTGTGGTCATGAGAATTTGCTGCCCTTTGGCCAAAAGGAGAGTCGGTACATTCTAGAACACCCCAGATCAGAGAGAAGAAACCCGGGCAGACATGTCTCAACAGTGATAAAGCTATAGTCTACATATATGCTTTGGAATGTGACTGCTTTTCAGAAATGCGTGCACGTACTCTTGGCTTGTCCTGCATGCTGTGGTCCTATATGCCTTTGGAAACCCGTGTCCACAAATGACACTTGCACACACACGACACATCATCAACTTGCACGCTGCACCCACATGGCTCTGGACCTGTCACCTGGATAAGGAAGGTGCTCAGGGAACCACACCAGGAGAGGAAGAGAGCCCAGGTGCTCTTCACGTGTGCATAAGTGCAGAATTCTTTGAGACACTTTCCAAGGGTTTCTTTCCTGGTGACTGTAGCCCAAGTCAACTACAGCCCTCAAATGCCAACCTCCGGCGTTCCCTCTGATGTCTACTTACCAACGGGTCCGAGTTGCTCGTGCCAATGTGCAGAGAACGGTTTGTCAGGTCAAAGCCCCCGAAGCTGCAGGTTCTCTGTGGGAAGCAGGCAGGGGAAAGCGGGTTATGCCCAGGTCTGTGCCAACCCAACCCCATTCCCCAAGCAGCACATCACTGATTCACAACCATGGCACAGGATGGAAGGAGGGATGATGAGGGGAAAAGGCATGGTTCATGTCACACAACTACTTCGCTCCTTTCATCCTTCCAGGGGTCGCTGGAAGGGGCTCTGTCCTGGAGGGGCGTGACACTTCCTTAATACGTACCACCCCCCCCACACCCTCCCCCAGCCATCTGTGTGCTTGCAAGAGTGCAGCTTTCTTAGCAATAGAATTTCCCCCTAATCAAGTCTCTCTAATTAATGAGTTGCTAAGGATAGTGATAAGGACGGATTCTGGATTCTGGAGCCCAGGAGCTTGGAGAAAAACCCCGTCCTGAAATCCTATAGTTCTGCCACCGACGGCACACTTTTCCAACCAGGCCTTTTTGTTTAGTTTTAAATTGCTGAGAAGGGGAAAGAAGGTTATGTTTACAGTTGTCAAATCAGGCCAAGAGCATTACTCACTCACTGCTGGCCTGACCTAGCCAAAAACGCTGATAACTTTCCCCTCCCGCTGTCCAGCTGCATTAACTATGGCCCATTTTCTCAGGCCGGTCTAGGCAAAGGCAACACATTGGCCCGGAAAGAAAAAAGGTCCATCTGTTTCCAGTGGCTGTCTCCGACCACACTTTTTCATTTCAACGGGCAAGGAACTAGTTTGACAAATGGAGGACAGGGCGGGGCAGAGGGGAGGGGAGGGCAAACCACTTTGCTGCCCCTTTTGGTTCATCTGTAACTTTACAGCACTGCTTATACTTCAGCAATTTTAGATTTTTGGAATTGGGTTTGAATTTCCACTTGTTTTCCTAGCAAATGCTTCTCCATGACCACCTTCCTCCTTCCCATTGTTCAGGATAAACAAGACACTGTCCTCCCGTTGTTCATCGATTTGCTCGAGCGGGCCCAGTAACATCTCCATCATGAGACTTGTTGTTACTGTGTTTGGCATATTGAATACGTCACAGGTAGCTAGCCAGGCTTTGCTGTGCGGGTGAGATATTCTCAGTAGCCTGCTGGGCTCTCCAAGAGGGGCAGAGGAATCGAACCCAGCTCGGCCGGGCTGGCTGCGCACAAGGCAAACGCCTTACCACTCTCCTATAGCTCCAGCCCCAGTATAAACAAGAAAAGCTCAAAACATAGACTCATGTTTTGTGACAACGGATTATCTAATTTTAAGCAAGTGGTCATGGAAGAGGATGGCAGAAATGGTTCCAATATCTGGGATCACCTATTTTTAGAGAACTTGAACAATCATCAATGACAGATGAAATAATATACTCTATTATTATATACTCTATTATCATATACTCTAATCAGTACCTGTTTCAAACAACAATAGTGTGTACATTCGCGCACGTGCACATATAAGCAACTAAGCAAAGGATCTGAGAATGTAGAAACATTCCAGAAAGGAAAAACCCAGGTGAGAAAATCACTCTAATATCTTGCTTCTGTCACTCGCTTCCCCTCAGTCTCAGGTAATGAACTGAACCTTGCCTACTATTTCTCCCTCTATTTGATCTTTCCAGCCCCCTACCATGCACACTGCAACAGTTGTCTTCTTCCAAAACTTTTTATTGGACCCTCCTGAGAAATCAGTAGCTTGTCCTCAGATTGTTAGAGTGGAGTTGAGGCACGGTTGACTTTCTAAATGTGCAAAGAAGGACTTGAGCTGAGTTTGGGACCAGATAAGCTGCTCTAACAGCCCATTATAAAGCCAGAGCAGCCCCGGAAGGGCCCAGAAAGAGCAAAATGGTAGGAAGTAGGGGTGTGGTAGGAGAGGGAGCGGGGTTACAGGAGGAATTTGGGGAGAACCCACATCCGGTGCCACACAACTTTTTTTCACTTCCACCAAAGTACTTGTAGCTCTTTTACAGAATCTCCCCTGGGTATGGTTTTCCAATGGTTGTTTTTCTAGGACCCTATTAGTCATCCATGATTTGATACCAGATCTCAAGTCCAGTCAGCCCACCTAGCTCTAGACTACTAAGCACATCTATATGCAAAAATACTCACCAACTTCCCTAACCTGAGGAGCAGGACTAGTCTGGACACAAATCTTCCCTGAGAGAACCAAGTAGAGGTTGCTTTTTTTTTTTTTAAGTTGGTTCCTCCCGCTCTCCCTCAAGGGCGGTGGTTTTCTTCTGGTTCCATTTCTATGACTCAGGGCAACACATACACACAGAGTATGGCCCCCAGATGCCACACCATTTTATGTCTTTTGTTCTCCCTTGCTTTAAATTCCAACATCAACGCCAACAATGGGAGCCCCGCTCATTATTTCTGATGTGCATGAAATAACAGACAAAGAATGTATGTGGAAACTATTATCTGCGATAAATTAGCAACCCACACAGGGCTTCACAGGCCTGCACGTACGCCTGTAAGAAACAGCTTATAAGAGTGGACTGGTTTTCTGAACCTCCCAGCATAAACCTCTCCCAGTGAAATGAGAAGATAGCTCGGCTTGAGTCTTCTTTATCAAAGGAGGATGCACACAGAATATAGGAATAAACATGCCTTCAACTGATCTCTAACTCTTGCTGTTAAACCAAGTAGTTCTGAAGCAACACTCTTTCAACAGAGAAGAGATTATAGAGGGGGAAAAAACTGGAAGTCAGCCCATCTTGGACTTTGGTGGTCTGTTAAAAAATGGAGCCTAAATGATGTTCAGACATCTTCTTGTACAGATGATATAAAAACATTTTTCTAGATGCTTGTGGATGAGGAGAGTCAATCAATGAATGGTCATGCAGTTGAAAACATGTTTTGGGGCGGAGTTGAATTTTTAAAATGGACAAAATTCCAAAATGTCATGCATGTTTGTTTCCCCAAACAAAAATTGAATGATCAAATAAAAAGCAAGACAAGTGACCATTTCCAGTGAATACGAAGCATTATCATTTCCCCGAGGTCTCATCAAGCAAATATGGCATTTTTGAAAGACAGAGAGAAATCAAGGTGAAAGAGTAAAGTAAACCATATGTGTTTAGATAAACTGAAGAAGATTTAGGACAAAGAAGAAGAGAAAAAAATATTTGTAAGAAAGCCAAGCAAAGAAAAAGATCTTGATCCCTTAAAAAACACCACTTTTTTCATTAAAAACATTTCCCCCTAACTTAGTTTATTCTATACATAGACAAAAAGATTTTGTTTCTTAATTATACAAATCCACATACAAAAAAAAAATGTGAACATCCGAAATTTTGGATAAAAATTATAAGGTACTACCTTATTCAGAGGCAAAAAGGTTGTTTGAAAACAAATCTGCCTGGAGGTACATGCTCAGTGGAAGAATTCCTAAGGAATTCAACATGAATGAATAATTCCTAGGACTTTAACTGGCACAAATCTCAGGAATATAAGTTCTAAAGAGAAAGACCCTGTGATGTCACATTACTAACATGCCCACATGTTACAAGGGCAGCATTTTAAAGTGCTGGATTTGGAAAACTTGTCAGGGTGACATGATAATCATATGATTATCAAGATTTGGTATTATAAATGACCAAGAATGGAGTTTGAGTATCTTGAAAAAATGTTGGGGGGTGGGAACCGAAGAAAAGAGAATGACCAGCAAGCCCAAAGGGTGGCTGGGATTCACCCAGGACTGGAAGATGTTCCTACAGTGTTAGAGTGGTTCCAAAATTTGTTGAAAAGACTAAACAAGAAAGTAGCCCTCGCAGAAACCTGAGTTAGCATGGACCCCCAAGATAACCTTTGAGTGCTGAGTCTTTTAGGGAGCACAGTACAGTCAGTGGTTCTCGGGATTACTCCTGCCTCTGCAATCATGGATTGGTCTTTCAGGCTTGGGGGACCATATGGAATGGCCAAGTGCAAGGTAAGCACCATACCCATTGTACTAACTCTCTGGCCCCAGGGAAGAGGCAGATAAGAACACTGCCAGTCATAGTCCCTGATCCACAACAGCAGAGTTTGACTGAATGAATTCCAATTACAGAATCACCTAGAGAAGAACAGCTTCTTAAATGCAAAGGCACTTTGGGGAAAGCCCACAGGAGGGGACAGCACCGTCTCCAGCCTTTCACAGGAGTCCAATGTGCAACTAAAAATGGATGAGTCAGGGATGGAAGGATCAAGGTCGAGTCAAGAAGACCTTGGATCCATCTAGCTTGTACCATCATATTGAGCTAATGAAAGTTGGGTAGGAATTTGGAGAAAGGCCTAAAGTCTTTCAAAATAAGCCAAAAATACATGTGATTAGGGCTCAGCTGATTCCATCTTAAAATGGAAATAATGTATGTTTGAAAGGACTTTATTCCTTGTACCTAAAAATCGATGGGGGCAAATAATGTTGATTTCTTGGTTGATAAAGATCAAACCATCAAATAAACTAAAGTTAAACCAGTCTATTTCCTTTTGCATTTCAGCTTGCTCTCCTTGCCCAGCTATTAATAAAAAGTATTTGACAATGTTTTCGAGTTCCCAAAAGGGTGAGGACGATGAAGGCATCTTTCTATGAGCTAGTTCCTATTGTTTTAATCAGTGGGAAAGAATCAGTGTCTCCTTCAGGGCAAAATGTCCTGTTTTGAATCAGCTCCTTGGCAGTCAAGTGACAAGATGGCTGGGAAGCTAGAGAGCCCCCTCCCTGTGCCCAGAGGGAAGCTCCACCCCAGCCCTGAGCTCTGGAAAAGCCCAGATGGGGATCTTGCTTTATTTTAATCAAAGCTTGAGCAGCTTCCCAGGGCAAAATGACAAACAGAAAAAGGAGAGAAGAGGGTTGGAGATATATGAGGTATGGTGGAGAAAGTCCTGAGTGGAAGAGAAGAGCAGAGACCAGGGTCCAATGGAAGGAAGGTAAGGACCCATGGATAGAAGGGAGCCAGGATCCATAGAAGAAAGCAAGACCAGGATCCATAGAAGGAAGATCAGACTCCACAGAAGGAAGTTCAGGCTCCATAGAAGAAAGGTCAGGCTCCCTGGAAGGAAGTTTAGACTCCATGGAAGGAAGGCCAAGCTCCATAAAAGGAAGGAAGAGCAGGTTCTATCTAAGGATGGTCAGGCTCCCTGGAAGGAAGTTCATACTCCAAGGAAGGAAGATCAGGCTCTATGTAAGGATGGTCAGGTTCCATAGAAGGAAGGTCAGGATGCATGGAAGGAAGACCAGAGTTCATAGAAGGCAGGCCAGGCTCCAAGGAAGGAAGATCAGGCTCTAAAGAAGGAAGCAGGCTCTAAGAAAGGTAAGTTGAGGCTCCATGGAAGTAAGGTCAGATTCCATGGAAGACAAATCAGGCTCCATTAAAGGAAGGTCAAGTTCCATGGAAGGCAGGTCAGGCTCCATGAAAGGAAGGTCAGGTTCCATGGAAGGTAGGTCAGGCTCCATGGGAGGAAGATAAAGCTCCACGGAAGGAAGGTCAGATGCCAAGAAAGGAAGAAAGACCCCATGGAAGGAAGGTCAGGCTCCATGGATGGAAGGTCAGACTCCAAGGAAGGAAAGAAGGAAGGAAGGAAGGCCATTCTGTTTGACAGCACCTCAGGGACATGACAAGGCCCGTCCTGGTGACCCAGCTGGTGACTCACGGACTTCTGGTGGATTCTCAAGAGAACCCTTTTAGTACAGCGGTCCACCGTGGCGGCCCACTTCCTCCTGGCCTCCTCCTCCTCCTCCAGCAGGCACCGCCTCAGGTCCTGCTTCTCGGCCTTGCTCAGGGTCCTGTCTGGGGCAGGCCGCACGAGCTGGGTCAAGTTGAGGTGGCTGTACAGGCTCCGCTCCACCACGTAGGTGATATTGAACTCGCTGACCGAGGGGCGCCCGCGCACCCTCCTGCCGGGCGGGCCGCAGCCCCCGCCGCCGCCCCCTTTGGCTTTCGGCCGCAGCAGCTGCAGGTCACAGGGGAGGCTGTTGCCCCCCTTGCGCGAGGGGCGGTGGCAGAGGAAGGCTCTGGAACACGAGTAGGCCGGGTCGGTCTTCTTCAGGCGGATCTGTTTGCGGACACTCTGGATCTCCTCCAGGGACACCAGGAGGTGATGCCTGCGGCGGTGGTCATACAAGCACACCCCGTCCGTACTTACCCCGTGGCTCAGGGACCCCAGCCCCTTCTTCATTTCCCCCTCGGTCAGGGAGCGGGACACCTTCTGCGCCTTCTCCTCCTCGGGGTAGGAGAACAGCGTGCCCATCTTCTTGGGGGGCTTGATGAGGCCCCGGTTCTCTCCTTTGCTGAAGGTCTTGACCAGCTTCCGCCCCGCGCCCCAGGTGTCCAGGCTGCCCGAGGAGGGCGAGGTGCTGACGGCCGAGTCGGGATCATCTCCCAGAGGTTTCTCGGGCGGGGTGTCGAAGAAGAAGGGTTTCTTGTGCACCCCGGAGTAGAGGGCGGCCCTCTCATCCAAGACGGGGGCGTTCTCAGAGAGGTGCTCCTCCCCGCCTGCAGGGAGATACACAGGCATTGTCAAGGCCTTGTTTCAATGTGGCCGATCACCTCACAGCCTCCTCGGCCTCCATCTGCCTGTAGATCTCACCTTCTCCAGAAACCGGCTTCAACTGCAATAAATGCAGACACAGAAACCAGAGAGGTGGTTTTGGAGGGCAAGGAGCTTTCCTCACCTTGCATGCCCCGGCCCTGGTTCTATCCCTAGCACCACGTGGGGTCCCCTGAGTGCGCCCTGAGTGTGGCCAGGGGTCACTCCTAAGCACACAATCAAGAACAGTCCCTGGGCACTGCTGAGTGTGGTCCCCAATCCATCATCAAAGAGTAATCACTACAGAAGAAAAGGTTGGGATTTAGGGTCCAAAGGTATCACTTTAAGTGTCTTAGTCGGTCAGACACTGTCCCTGATGTCTCATAAAGGTCACTGGGAGTAGCTCAACTGTCGTTATCATGATATTGGTGTTGTGGGGTGTGTGTGTGTGTGTGTGTGTGTGTGTGTGTGTGTGTGTGTGGTGTCTTGTTTTCCGGGAGCCTCACCTGGCGGTGCTCAGGAATTATTTCTGGCTCTGCACTCTGGAATCACTCCTAGTAGTGTTCAGGGAACCATCTGAGATGCCAGGGTTGGCTGCGTGCAAGGCAAGTGCCTTACCCACTTGTACTATCACTCTAGCCCCTGTTTTCGCATTTAAAGATCAATCACACACCCTAGGAACCCAAGAGGTAAATAAAAGTGAGCAGGAGTTGGAATTTGTCCTTCTGTTAACTGGGTTTTCAGAGCTGGGCTGTGACGGTACCACGTGGACAAGAGTGGTGCTGATGATGGGGACCCGGTGGCTTCTAAGGCATCAGGTCAGATGCATCTGGAGGGGCCGCTGCTCTCCCTGACAATGGGGACCCCGATGGCCAGGCAGACATGAGAAGCCAAGAGTGGGGTAGGGTGTGGGCTGATGCCAGCGAGCAGGAGCACTGACGAGCCCGACAAAGGCAGCTCCTCAGAAAGGCTCCCTGGCAGGGCCAGGTACATTGCCAGGAGCCCCTCCTGTGCCTTTGCACTTGCTGGCAATAGCGGTGGCAGCGCTTCTGGGCCTGCAAACAGCTGTGTGCAAAAAGTAGGTCAGACCGTGGGCAGAGTGACCAGTTCACTGGGCCCCTCTTGGGACACAGAAGGCTCCATCCGCAGGTCTGTACCGGAAACACACTGGGCCTTGGCACAAGGGCATGGCTCTCCCCATGGGACCTGAGCACCCATGTGTGTGCAGGGCAAAGCCAGCGAAGGGTGGGACGGGGAGAGAAAATCATCTGAAAGTCCCTCAGGGAGCTGAGTAACCACTGTCCTCAAACAGCCCCCAAGTTGCTGGCTTTTCCAGCAGTGGGAATTAGGGTGACAGATGGGAAGAAGAACGGTTGTCCTGTAGGTCACCCCGGGATTAGCTCTGCAGTAATGGAGAGACTAGAGAGTGCGGAGTGGGGAGCTCAGAGCACTCCATGCCCGGGTCTAGAGCTCCCGCCTTATAGATTAAAGCTTTTGAGTTTGAACCCCGGCATCAGCCCACATCATGGAGTGAGAGCCCCCCATGCCACGGCCACAGTCAATACATGAGCTCTGGCATGTCCCGACCAAATGTGTGGGGTCCTTATATAGGACATTGATGAGCCTAGAAAAGAGCCAGTTGCCCGTCACCTCATGTCCCTTCCATGAGCCTTTACTGCCCGCCACCTGCCCCCCCACAACAACTTCCTAGTGATCACAGCCAAGGGCTCCTGGATCTACAGCAGGAGAACTGGCTCTGATCTTTGAGGAAAGATGAGAGTAGGGACAGGGACTTGAAAGCAATGACCTAGACAAGGCAAAGCTCAACAGTAGAAACGCTTCCTGCTGCTGTCCCTTCCATGAAGCAGGAACGCTCCCACCCTTCCTTTCATTCCATCAGCCCCTGTCTGCTGTCTCCCAGTGGGTGTTACTAATAAAAACAATAATAAATCCAGTCCCCCTTCACTTGATGGGGATGGGCATCCCCAGGCTGGACAGAGGCAGACTCTGGACTCCCTTCTCCGCAAATATATCTGGGCCCCGTGTCGCTGTCTCCTGGGTCCCCGGAGGCACGCACAAGCCTGTCAACTCCCCATCTGAGGGGCCGAGGGGATACCAGGAGGCTTTGCTGAGTGTTGGAAGGGCGTGCCGCTTGGCACAGGGCGGGGAATGTTCTGGAACTGCACTCAGAGCTGTCATCAGAGATTCCGACACTTCCGTGTCACATGTGAGTCGGAACCAGCTGGAGCCCACATGTCAAGGAAGGACATGTGCTGCTCTGTTTCCCAGTTCTGGTAAAGTCGGCATCTGGGAAGGCCCTCGGGGAGACCCACAGCACAGGCCCCATGTGACCCTGGATCCCGCAAGACTGGCTTCCTGGCACTGAATGTGTTGTCTCTTTTGCTGAACAAACAACCACTGGGAGAGGCCTGGTCAAGATGCACCGTTCTCCTGCTACTCCTAGTAATATCTGCTGGGAGACAACAGACAGAGGCCGATGAAATGGAAGGAGGGGTGGGAGGGTCACCTCATGTCCCTTCCATGAGCCTTTATGGACAACTGGCTATTTTCTAGGCTCATCAACGCTCTACATAAGGACCTCAGGTGTAAGCCGGGGACAAGGAAAGAAGGATTGACTGTCCCTCTCCTGATCACCAGCACTCCCGAGATGAAGGCGGCCGGAAGGAGCGCAGGCAGAGGGGAAAACCAGGGTACAGGGACATCTGTCTCTCTGCCAGGACTTCATTCAGGGTCTTTTAGGCTGGTGAGGAGTCCTTGAGTCAATGGTTTAGCCTGATAGTACCGGAGTTTGCACCTTCATGGAGTGAGGCTGCTTTGAATGCTGCCCCTAGTGGCCATCCTGAGACTGACATATGAAAAAGAACCCGAAGACCCTCAAATGCCTGGCACCCAGGAGGCTCTCTATAAATGTTAATGATTACTCAGACCACTGAGTCTTGGCAAAGGATCAGCAATTTGGAAGCTTGGGGGCAGGGAAGGGGTGATGGGAATCTGACTTTTCAGACTTGCAGACACAGCAGCCCGGGCTGCCTCTCCAGAACTGGTAGCAGCTCTAGCCAATGAGGCACCTCAGAGAGTTTCAATTCTAGCTGGGTATGGGGGCAGTGCAAAGCAGCTGCCTGAGTCTCTGTCTCTGTCTCTGTCTCTGTCTCTGTCTCTGTCTCTCTCTGTTTCTCTCCAGCCACCCAACCCACACCCACATACACACACACACACATACACACACCCTAGAGCCTTTTATGGTGATGCCAACCAGCCCAGTCAAGACATCAGACACTGGAGGCGTCATGTGTAAGGAGCTCATTAGAACACCCACCCCCACCCCCACTCCACCAGTGAAACCTCATTCCTTCTTAGATGCATTCAAGCTTGTAGTCAGAGGGCCCAAGTTACAACTGGTTCTTCCTAGAGACACATCTTTTTTTTTTACCCTTTCACTTTTTGGGTCACACCAGGCAATGCATGTACAGGGGTTATTCCTGGCTCTGCACTCAGGAATTACTCCTGGTGGAGCTCAGGGGACCATACGGGATGCTAGGGATCTAGGGATCGAACCCGCATCGACCGCGTGCAAGGCAAATGCCCTACCCACTGCACTATACTTCCAGCCCCCCCCCCCCCCCCCCCGCCCCGAGCCACATCTTCTGGGCTAGTTTTCCCTTTGTTTCTCCAAGAGAGTTGAACTGGCAAAGCACAGCTATCTCATAGATGGGACAGACGAGGGGAGGCCCAGTACTACAGCTATTTGATCTCATTCCTGAACAAGAACAGCCCCCCTCAACCTATCCATGATATTTGAGATGTGATGTTTGCAAGTATGCATGGGATCTGTTTTTAAATGGGGGGCCCCCCTAGGCTGAAAAAGTGGTAATTCCATATGGTTCTACTTAATATCACCAATGAATCCTGGCTGTGTGATTTCAGTAAAAGCTGCCGCAGTGACAGGCCACTGGGAATGGGCTGGATTGAGGGAACCACAACACGCAGGCAGGTATTCAAACATGGGAATGGAAACTAGGCATTGCACCCTAAAGTAAAACCAAACAGCCACAGGAAACGACTCCTCCCCCCCCACCAAGAAAAAAAAAAAGAACACAAAATCAGACCCATTTTGGTTCTGACAGCAAAGCGATCTTTCTCTGTCCTTTTAATATTTTAACCCTTTAAACACTGCTGTCCCACACTAACCCTTTCACCTCCGATCCTCCTCTTGGGATGTCAACAGTCAAAAATTACAACAAACAGAAACAACTGAATAAGAAGAATAACAATAAAACAGCTGGATAAATAACAGGCAATCTGGTTCCATGGTTTGGTTTTAATGTTTTTGGACAGTTAAAAAAAAAGTCTCGACAATGGTCTTTTTTCTCCTCTGGTTTTTTTCTTCTTTTTTTTTTTAAGGGGGAGGGGGGTATACAAAGCCTATTCCTGGCTTTGCACTCAGGACTGAACCCTCAAAGGACCATATGAGGAGCTAAGGACGAAACTAGGATCAGCTGCAAAGTACTATCCCTGTATTGTCTCTCTAGCCCCAAAATAACCACTTTAAAATCTACATGTTAAACAAATTGAAATTCTTCACCATGTAGATATGATATGTGATAAGTAGTGTGCTTTTTTCCTAGGGGGAAAAGCCATAGTCATTCCCAGTAAGCTTATCTAGTTCACTTACCATTTTTCAAGAAAAAAAAATTTTTTTAATAAAAGCACTTTTTACTTTGGGCGGGAGAGAAAGTACTCCAACAATATGCTACAAATCCATGTGCTTTACAGTAAGGGACACAAATGTTGTAGAGATTCACATAGTTAGAACACACTCCAAAGATGAGCTCTTCATTATGATAAATCCAAGTTTGTGTCTCTCTGACATTACTGCCTCATCTGAAAAGTGGCTGAAGATAGCCCTTAAAGACCCACTTACGCTGGGGCAACCTTAAAGCCCCATCTGAATTGAGACTTGAGGCTGTTGACAGGAAAAATAAATCATCTCTCCCAGATCTAAAGAAGCACGAAAAAGAACCCAGATTGTTAGATGTTTTGTTTGAGATGGATGTCTATCAAACCTAGACTATATAGACAGAGCAAGAACCAGACTCTGGGGGTGGGGGAGTGGGGGATGTGTGGGTCAGAGGATTCTACTAAAAGGAAGTTGCAAAGGAAAGTTTAGTTTATATGAAAACTAAAACGTTTATAGATAAAAAGCCCACAATGCTGTTCCCCTAGTTCAGAAGATTCCGTGGTCTCTTACTAGCCTCTTCCCGTGTTGGGAACATTCCAGTGTCTAGGACTGGAGAATTCTTTCCAGAACAGGCTGCCTGGGCATTGCCCAGCTCCCAGGCAGACCCTTTTCACCCTCTACTTCAGCTTGCCTCTCCCAGACCTCGGGTCTCAGAAACCCTATTCCTTTCGCTGCTGAGACACTGACTTCCAATGACAGCCTCTGACGTAAGGATGGCGGACTTGGCTCTCTTACCTTCCATGCTGGGCTTTTTCATGTCGTCCACCCGGATGAGTTTCTTTCTCACTCGGCGAGTGGAGTTGACCAGCTTGTGTAACCTCTTAAACTTCACCGACTCCTCCGTCTCATCATCCGACTGTTCTCTTGACTGGAGGAAGAAGCAAAGCAGGAAGGGGGTCAGCTCCTGGCTGATGAGGGACCCAGGTACAGCTCTACTGTTTGAGTGACACTTCAGGGCACCAACAATGGGCACACTGGGTTGAGGAATCTGCACATACCATCTTCCAGCCAAATCTAGGTAGACTTGGATCCTAGGCAACCCCCACACCTGTCTTTGCACACCATGCTGTTTAGAATCCAATGCTCCTGACTCTCTTTTAGGAGAATTACGGCAGAGCTCTCAGGGGCTGGCCCTAGGATTATTCCAGTTCTGCTGCTGTGGTTTGGGGTCAAGCTCACATGTCTGTCCCATCAGGGCATGCAATTATATGTGGCCATCAACTACTTCTCCACCCCAAACGCTGTTGACTTGTTCCAGTTCTTCCCCCAAATCAGAACCAGCAGAATTGAAAAAAGGAAGAGGGGAGGGAAAACAACAAAAAAGATCGCCCCAACTCCATCCCTTGCTCCTCACCTAGCTTGTTCCCAGGCTTGAGGACAGAGCCCGCATTCCATGCAGAGGGACAAGGGAAAAAGTTGACCTTTTCCACCATACGGCACAGAGAGTCCATATTCCCCAGCATCCCATTTGGTCCTGCCGTGATTCAAGTATGCTCAGCCCAGCTGTTTTCCCTCAAGTCTCAAACATTACAGTGCAAAGGGGGAGGGCGGGGGATGGGAGGGGGGATCTCTGTGGCAGTGACCCAGGCGGAAAAACAATTCTTTCCTTGTGAACAAAAATGAGTGTTTCACTTCCAAGTCTGTTCCAACATGTGTTAAGGCAGCTTCCTCTGCTTTATCTGCTCAAAACGTGCAGAAGCCAAAGCAGGGTCCAGTCACCTCGGCCAGCTGTGTGGACTGACGGATGCTCAGGCGTTCCCGGGAACATGGGCCCGGGCGGTGGCTGGGTCCAGCCACCTCACATGCCCTGGACAGCTCCAGTGCCTGTTGAGCTAATCCTGCATATTCTGGCAACCACTTTCTCCCGTGTCCTTAAACCTAGTTCGCTGACACAGGAGGCAGAGAGATGCCTCAAAGGCAAAGGAAAAAAACGCAGACAAACCGCATCTCTGAACGGGAGTAAATCTAGAGACCTCCTCCCATCCTACCCCCAGAAACGCTCTTATTTATCCTAACATAAGAGACTATCAAATAGGCCAGTGAGAAATAAGCAGATTGCAGGAAACAAGGGAGCGATTACAGACATAAAAATGGTACAGGATGCATGTCTACAAGTATTTCCGGATGCCTTGGCTCTCTGGAAAGGATGGATCTGACCCATTTCCTGGCCACTGATCTCGCCCTGGAAACTGGGGCACAGAGACATGGTACTCTCGCCTGCATTACTGTGAACAAACCTTTTGCCCACTAGAGAATAATCATGACAACTCTATACAACCAGCCTCTGGAGAAGAGAATCTGTCTTCTCGCAGTGGAACATCTCAGTAGCTGTGTCCAAGGTCTCTAATGATCCTCAATAAAATCTATGTTTCAGAAAGAAGGTCTAACTGTGGGTTACCTGTAATAAAGACTAGAAATGGAACCTGGAGGTCGAGGGGGTGATGAGGTTATGAGGGCATACAGAGAATGAAGCTGACTCGATTGGAAACTTCTAATTGCTAAAATTACCATAAAAGAATGAGCTCCCCATCCAAAAGTATCTGCTTCACTGTTGCACGGTGAAATGGTCAGAGTGGTCAACCAGGGGAAGGAGAATGTGGTTAAACATTGTTCTGGGCAATTGGCACCTGAACCACAGTGCCCCAGATGACGCATGAACCCGGGAGGGGGGTGGGGGTGGGAAATGCACTGCCATGTTGGGGTGGCACAAAAATCTAAGCAGTTCAAACAGAGATTGTAGAAAGTCTCTACTGACCAACTGGACAAATTTCCAATTTGTTGAAAAGCCTCATTTTGATCAAAAAGAAATAAGCACAGGTTGTTTAAATAAAAATGTAGCAGGTGATAGGATAGGGCAAAAGTCATTGATAAGAGTGTTTTGCCCCTCATTTCATGGTGGCTGGAGTGGAAGTGGGTGGGTGGGGTGGGTGATCATGGGGGTTTGCACCTGAGCAGGTACAGGTGTGTGTGTGTGTGTGTGTGTGTGTGTGTGCGTGTGTGTGTGTGTGTGTGTGTACTGCAGGGGGCGGGGAGAGTAGAAAGAGAGTACAAACATTAATAGCAGTAATACAGAATAAATTCAGGCAGGTCTGCAAAGACTCAAGTCCTATAGAAAAGGCACGTAGGGACAAACTTAACAGAATAAAAAATAATTATTTTTTAAAATCAAAACATCACATTTAAAGCAAAACTCCTCCTTGTTTCCTCTGCCCAGGTGCTATCTGATGACAATGTTTTCCAGGCACTAAACTGCTTTCATGTATGACTCTATCTTTGAGAAACAGGAGCTCCTTAGAAGTTAGAAATAATATCATAAAAGAAATGAAGCCTGGAGGTGCTTGCCACTGACAAATCACAAATCACAACATTCAAGAACTTCCATTGCATGCTCATGCTTTGGAAAGAAGACAAAGGTAGATGTAAGCACAACTGATATGAAGACAAATGTAAAATAGAGCAATTATTCATGAAATATATGTATGTGCATACAAATATTCTAAGTCAGTCTAGAAGTCAGAGCTCATCCCCCCAAAATGCCTTCTTTTATGGACAGGTGTTGACTTCTCCTGTGCTCCTGAGTCCAAAGGATGTGAAATATTTGCCTTTAAAAACTCCCACTAGGGGGCTGGGGCGATAGCACAGCGGGTATGGTGTTCACCTTGCACATGGCCAACCAGGGTTCGATTCCCAGCATCCTATATGGTTCCCTGAGCACCTCCAGGGGTAATTCCTGAGTGCAGAACCAGGAGTAACCCCTGTGCATCGCTGGGTGTGACCCAAAAAGCAAAAACAAACAAACAAACAAACAAAACAAAACAAACAAACCATCAACAACAAAACAACCCTCCAGCTATTTTAACATAAAAATTCTCTAAAAGACACATGTCTCCTTTAAACTGAGAAGAAAAGCTTCACTCCTTCATTTTCCTGTTTTTCCTTTTAAACATAAGCCACTGCCCAAATGCTAAAAATAACATATCTTCCCCCACCAAAAGAGACGAATACTCTCAGTGATGCATTAGAATTAGAACAAATTAAAAAGAAATATGTATATGAGAATATTATTTGAAAAGAAAGAACTTTGTTGATGAAATCTACGGTGTACATATAAATAATAGTTCTAAGAAATAGGTTCACAGTTGTTAAGAATAAAAGAAGGCTTTAAATCAAGTTTTAAAAAAAAAGTATATGTCATTTTGCAATCATACATACATTTTCCTGGCCTCACCCTTGGAAGTGAGAGTACTAAAATGAACTTTAATTTCATCATCAGCTAAAGGAGCTGAAAATTCAATCATCTGTGTAAAGCTCCCCACCCTTAAACCTTTCACAGAAAAAGGCAATTAATTCCTGCCACCAAAGGCTGTGGAGGAAAGGATTTGCAATATTGTAAACAGAAAACATTTGATTTCCAGCATGTCTGCTGCTGCTTTTTTTCCACCAGGAAGCCCATATGGCTCAACTTTTAATTACTTTGGCTAATGCTATATGTAGTGATTCTGTGGTGAATGCTTAAGTGTTTCATTTCTGGTTTCCATGGCAACATGACATCAGATTGCAGACAGCTGGCTCCACAGTCTTAAACCAGAACAAATTGACCAAGCCAAGGCACAAAACTATAGCTGCTTTAAAGAGATAGCGCCCCCTTCGCCTGCCAGGATGCTGAAAGAGAAACCGAGGGGGCCCGCTTGGCATGCGAGACAGGGTGGACCCTCCTTCCTTCGTTCCTCGGGGAACATGTGCCTCCTTGACACATCTGCAATGTTCTAATCGGAAAGACATGGGGCCAGCGTGGAGAACTTTTTCTAACACGGCTCCATTTGGATGACCGGAAGAAAGGGGCACAGTTCAGCACATCTGCACATACTAAACCGTGTGTGCTTAACTAAGCAAACCCGGAGACCCCCTCCCACCCCCCAGTTCAACGGAAGCAAGACACTGCAGGTGGAGGATGGTCACTTCCCCTGACCGTGCAAGAAATGTTCTTAGACACCACAATGTGCTAGAAAAAAAAAAGCGCTTTCAAACAGCCGCGTGGCACAGCAAGGCAGGCGCAGATGCAATGCGCTGTCCCAAAGCCCAACCGAATTAGCTTGGGCAGCTAGAATCCTTCAGCAGGGTTGGTCGATAAACCATGCTCTTTGCTGACATGCACCCCACTTGTTTCTCCGATTCCAACAAAACCTCCTGCACACTGTCCCCAATTAACGCCTCACTAAGTCAACCCGTTTCCCACCCCCAGAGCCCTGCACAGAGCCAGAGAAGATACTCAAGACGTTCTGAAAAGCATCCTGAAATTGGAAATGCATTTGTGACATTCACACAACGGGCTCTGCTTAACCCGGCGTGTAATCAGACGTCCACGCTTAACTTCCTCAAGCCTGCATGGTCGACTCCGACTCCGTGGTGGCTTTCAAAGTCAAAGAGAAAGAAGCCAACCCCTAGCTGAATTTGTGAATAAGCAAAGAGCCACACATTCTGAAGTCCTATCCACCCCCACGGAGCGCCTCCACCAACTCACAACCGCCGCGAGCAAACATGGAGCCAGAGGCTGGAACTCCTCACTGCCTGCTCGAAAGCAACAATCACAGCTTTGCAAGAGGGAGAAAACTTTTTAGCGGAGAAAGCTCCACGTTAAGAGGTAGGCGAACCAACCAGATAAGGAGCACCCCCCCCAACCCCCCAACGGGGAGGAATTTGCAAGGAATTTGCAAAGAAAAGACGGAGGCATTCTAGCTAGGAACAATTGAAGGGGGAAAAAAAAGACCTACAACACTTTCCCTTTCCTAAAGTGACAGAGAGCACACACTCTGTCTCCATCCACATCACACACATCAGTGAACTTACCGGCTTCGGCATTGAGCAGGC